CACCCTTAAACAATTAATACGGCCTACGTACAACAGCGCGCGAGGTCTAACCGCGTGCGTGGCCTCCACGCTCATGGGTGCTGTGATTTGGTTGATGGCTCTCTGATCCGATTACCGGCCTTTGGCGCGCACCAAGAACTCCTTACACAAATGCAGCCCCAAACCCGACAAGCGCAAAATCTTCTTGCTGAGACTAAGAGGGTATTCGCGCTACCCTCCGAGCTCGTGAGTGCATATATATATATATAAAGTTCCCCTAAATCGCAAGTAAAGCCGATCTTTCACCTTGTTCTCTTTTAGGCCGCAATCAAGATAAATAGGGGCGACCCACACGGCTTACTGTTTAAATCCGCCACTCTCTTTGATCTTTTTGTTGTTATTTTTTGAATTTGGGGTTAGGTTCTATCCGCCCTTAACGGATCAACACTGTTTCCACGTTTTATATGTAAACATAGTCTATTTACGGAAAACGTTTGTGTAAACACATTCACATCAGAGGTTTTGAGACCTCACTATTCTCACGGGTTGGGTGTTTTAATCGAAGGGGAAATCTGTCTTTGGTTGATTCTTGTGCTTTTTACAGAAGCGACGGTTGGTTTGCAAGCTAAGGATTGCGGGGTGGGGCAATCAGCGGGTACCTTTTGTTTTTTGTGACAAAGGGCGAAAAATCATTTGGTGTTTCTCCGCAAACCTTTGTTATATTTTCCCGAGACCGTAAGGTTCGTAATGGTAATCCAGTTTCTTAAAAGGAGAATAAAAGTGAAGGTTATTAAATAATATGGACATGGATTTGTATAGTTTTCTTATTCCTATTGCTCCCTGTTACCGTGTATTCTCAGACGGGTTTGCATGAATGCGACGCGGAAGTATGGCTGTTGGGTTTGGCTTTACCGGACTTGACTTTAGTAGCAGTCAAGACGCTATTGGAATAGGAGGGAGTCTTAGTTACGGTATTAGTAGTCGGACAAGGATTGCTCTTATATCGAATATGGGCTTTATTGATGAAGACCGATACTACGGTTCAAAACTTGATGTTCCGCTACCTGTCATGATAGGTATTCAGTCTGTGCACACGAGTCCCTTAGGACAGACAGGTTTAGATTATTTTTTAACGGGTACTTTTTACAGAGGATTTTCCAGTGGAATTTCTCGGAGGCTTGATGATCCTACATACGAGAGACTTCTCAGTGTCCGAACTAATGGGTTCGCCAGTGGTGGTGGTATTTCAAAACGCCTGGAAACTAACTTCGGTTGGGGACTAAATCCTTTCTGTGGGGTATCCTATTCACGTTCTTGGACACGCATAGATAGAAAAGGAGAAGGTGAGGAAATAGGTTTCAATCGGATATCTTCTGGCTTTGAGAGGACGGGCGGGATTGGAATTGGAGATTGAATTGTCACCGATGATAAGTGTAATCGGGATTTTCGGGATCTCTTTTGAAGATTTCAATAACAGTTTCAGTATCGGCTTAAACTTTCATTAAAGGTGCTGTCAAGAATCGACGAAGAGTTCCCACCAAGGAACAACAGAACCACTCCTGTTTTGCTGGGGAGATCGTCCCCTCGCTAATCTTCTGATGTCCAAGTAATTGTATATTTTACCATGAATAGCCTTGATCTGACAGAGCCATTCAAATTCAGGACTTATACCAATTTAACCCCATTTGTAGCGCGAGGTCCCTGTGCCTCACAATGCTGACTTGATCAAAAGACTCTCTAATCAAGTTTTAATTTTTGGTATTACGCCAATTGAGCAAATATCGGACATTTAGACGCAAAAAGCGGCAATTTCCGTATTTTAAACCCCCTAAATCCCCCTTATCAGGGGGACTTTAAGTGGGAATGCGTAAGTCCTGCAATTGTCAGAATCACCCTTGTGGGAGGGGTTTGTAACCCCGATTTATGCGGATAGCCTTGCCCCCTCATTCTTGATAAGGCATTCAGAAAACCGAAAACTGAATGGGTCTGTTGATCTGAGAATTGGACTCAGGGCTATTATAGTGGATCCCAGAATTATGGGACACTTTGCACCGGCACGGTTAGGAAACCGTGCCTACCGGGGGACTGCAGAAGTGTCTATTTATTTTCTAAACTTTACTATAGTTTTTTCCAAGCTTTTTATCCATTTTGTTAGGCAAGTCGCGGAATCGGAATTCGCTCCTACAGCGGTATGTTACGATTGAGTGTTCACTTTTATCGGAGAACTAAATACCCTGGAATTGGACTTGATAACTATAACGAAATATGTTATACTTGGGTTAAAAGGAGGACTCGCGTGATTACCCGACAAGAGATTCAAGCAACGTGTGATGACATCATACGCGAGTTTGCGCCGTTACAGGTTATCCTCTTCGGCTCCTATGCGTATGGGACTCCTACAGAAGACTCGGATGTAGATCTGCTCGTCGTGATGCCTATTCCGAAATCAGAGTTTATCCGCAAAGCCATCGAAATTCGGCAGCATGTTCCTTACCGTTTCAGCATGGACCTCTTGGTACGTTCACCGGAAGAGATTGCGTTTCGTGTCTCGTATAACGATTGGTTTCTTCGCGAGGTTACTGAGAAGGGCGAACTTCTTCACGGTTTCCATGATCATTACAATGTTAATAACCTGCAAGGTACGCTGAGCAGCGTCAAGAAGGAGAAGGACTGCATGAACCCGTTGACGCTGGAATGGATAGAGAAGGCTAAAGGCGATTATGCCGCTGTCCAGCAGCTTCTCCTGGCAACAAACCCGCAGTTATATGATATTATCTGTTTCCATGCGCAACAGTGTATTGAAAAATATCTAAAGGCATGGCTGCAAGAGGCAGACATCCCCTTTTTCAAAAACGCATGACCTTGAAGAATTACTTAACCTGATTATGCCAACGCTACCCACTTGGGACTTTTGGCTACCTGATTTTAAGATAATAACAGCCTATGCAGTAGCATCGTGTTATCCCGGAGATTCAGCAACACTCGACAATACACAGCATGCGATGCACATCTGCGATGGAGTACGTCAAGCCGTTCGCACGCAGTTGAAACTCAATTGATATTGAAAACGAAAATACAACTGCCAAGTAAAGATATTAAGACTTCGCCGCAATAGATTATTGTTCAAATTCGTAACCGATTAAGAAGAAATATAAGTGAAAATAAATTCCACATTTCATATTCTCGTGTTTTTGATAGCAGTGCTGACCTTCAGCACACCTGTTGTTACCATCGCTCAACAGAATTTTGTGCAAGCCGAAGCTGCGACCGCTGCTGAAGCGGATGCTAATAAAGATGTCAGCAAGTTATTATGCTTCAGTGCTGGTTGTGTGCTTTCTGCCCTCTTTTTTTTACCGAGTCCGTATGGTTATTTTTTGCCGCCAACTGGCATAATTGGGGCATATTTCTATCGGCCGGCACCACCACCTTCTCGGTTGATTGGGAAATCGCCTGAATATATAGCTGCTTACACATCAGCCTATCAATTAAAGAGAGGGAATATTCAGGCGCAGTGGACATCAGCAGGTTGTCTCAGTGGTTGCGTCGTAATTGGGACTATAGCTGTGGGCATAAAGGTATTGGACTTGGAGTAGAAGCTGCAACACAATGAACTTGAAAATCAATATGGTGGCAAGCACCAGAGGTTTGCCAGCCACACACTGTTTATAGAGATAGATGTTTAAAAACACTTTATTCTCCATAACACTCTTGTTTATATTCCTTCTCGTTGATGTTCTTTACGCTGCGCCGTTGAAGACACTTTCGTTAGAATTTACGCGCGAATTAACCGAAAACGGCAAAACGGAACACATCGCAGGCACGCTTCACTACGATGTAAAGGCGGCGCGGTTGTTGTTGAGGTTACCAAACCGGTCAAGCAGATAATGGTTGTAAAGGACAATGTCCTTGAAATCTATTATCCTGTGGAGAAACAGGCGTTCCGTTTTATCTCCGAAGGACGTGTTCCGCTCCCGTTTGTCGAATCCATTATCCAAACCACACAAGCGGAATACGGGTTGACTGCAATCGGATATACTTTAGATAAGCACGATGTTGTGGAGGAAGTACTCTATACCTATTGGGCACCGCCTGAGAAGGCGAAGGATACACTCGGCAGTGTCATCTTAGGCATGCACAATGATCGTCTCATCTCAGCAGAAATCAAAAGTCCAGCAGGATATATCATCGGTAGATCGCGTTACCAGAACCACAGCAAAATCGGTATTAACTATATCCCTATGAAAGTTACCTCCAGTATGTACGGTGCGAAATCTGAAGTTATCCAGCACGAACAGATTGTCTATAGCAACCCAGAGGTGAACGCGAAAACGTCAAATCCAATGCTAAATTTCACAATTCCTGAATCCGTGGAGGTTAAAGAGAGCAAATGGTAAATCATCCTATTTATCGTATATCTGTTGCTTTCAGTGTGTTCTGTTTATCGGTTGTTATCTTCGTTTCGCCTGCGTTTGCGAATGAAGCGACTGATCTGGCGTTCATCCGCAAAATCAACCCGATGACAACACCGAGCCCGCAGGAAATTGTCCGTTTTAATCCGCAGGAAACCTCGGAGTTAAAACTCGCCGCGACAGGGCTGATACGCTTGTATCAAAAATTCATCTCAAGCCAAGACGGTCCGACTTGCAGTTTCTCTCCGAGCTGCTCGCGTTTTGGCATGGCATGTATACAAGAATACGGTGTGTTGCGAGGCGTGCTACTGACTGCTGATAGATTGCTCCGGTGCAACGGTTCACAATCAAGGCATTATCATAAAGATAATGTGACGGGTAAATACATTGATCCAGTTTCAGACTATGCAGTGTTGAAGTAAAAAAATGGGGTTTCACTCCGTTCAATCCAACCGACGAACTCTATGAACATTACACGAATCCACAAATTCCTACTCGTAATTTGGCTGAGCATTACTCCACTTCTTTCCTTTGCATCCGCCGAAGAACCCGTTGAATACTATGCTCCCGAAAACGTCCTAAAGTTCGCTGATTTTCTATATGAACAGGGTGACTACCTCCGTGCTGCGGGTGAGTATCAGCGTTATCTATTTTACAAGCCACAAGACACCGAGCAGATTCACTATAAGATTGCAGTCTCTTACCGCTTCGGTGGCAAGACTGAACAAGCGATTCAAGGTTTTGAGACGCTTCTGCGAACATACCCCGAAAGTGAGTTTGCAAGCCGTGCCTACTACCAGATCGGTGCCACCTATTTTCTGATGGATCAGTTTGATCAGTCTACGCTATTTCTTCATGAAGCACTACCGCGCATAACAGATACACGGCAACACGCCGAAGCAGAACAGCTGATTGGACTCTCTTATCTGAAGCAAAAACGGTGGTCTGAGGCAAGCGAGGTATTCAAGACGTTGCAGGAATCAGATGTGATACCAATTAGAGAAAAAGCGGTGGTGTACCACAATTATGCTGAGAAAGGAGCACGCCTATCCACTCGTAGCCCATTTTTAGCGGGAACTCTCTCTACGATTGTACCGGGGGCTGGAAGGCTCTATACGGGTCGCCTCGGTGATGCGCTGAATTCTCTGTTCACCATAGGTTTAACAGGTTGGCAGGCTTACGACGGCTTCCGTAGAGATGGGATTTCATCGGCAAAAGGGTGGACACTCGGCACGCTCTGCGGCATCTTCTATGTGGGGAACATCTACGGGTCCGTAATTTCAGCCCGCGTTTACAACCGTCACGTGACGGACGAATTTTTGGCGACATTGACCGTAGCATTGCCGTATTAGTTGAGAACACATATTTTAGTTCAACGCCTCTGTAAAAATTCCGGTTGCGCGACCTGCATCCCCAGTGGTGGTAACCCCGCCGTTATCGCTTCAACATCATCTACAACCATATTTCCAATGTTGAAAAGCGCGTGATCAATCGCGCCTGCCCTTTCTTTTCAATCTTTATCAGTCTTCCGGAAAATTTCGCCATCAAAGTCCGGAATCTCATGACGTGAATTGCGCTTACCGCTGTTGACTCCTATGACAGGTTCATCAAAAGTGACAGTTCTCATAGCACCGCTCCGGTTATAGACTACCCACCCCTTTTCATACTCGCGGATAAAAAGCTCTGCTACATCTTGGTATTGAACTGCTTTCTCTTGGGTCGGTTGTCCGAGGTCAGCATCCCAAAAATCGTACCAGTTGTGGAGATGGTCAGGAACTGGTATGGCGTTATCATCACCAAAAAGGACGTAACCGTCTGAATGTGTTAGACTCAGCGTGGTAATCATGCACATCCACTGTTGGTTTTCTTCGCTGTTCCGTTCTGCAACCCGTGTGTCTAAATCTCCCATATAATCCGTTACCACGCGCCAACCTTCTAAGCAGTTGATTCGCGGCTCTCTCAAATGCCGTTCTGCCCATAGCAGTGTCTGTTCCATTTGTAGAATCTGATTGAGGTTATATCCTTTGATATGATCCTGCTTATAACACTCCGTCAAGGCACCCAAACCTAAAGGATTGGGCTTCTGCTTCGTAGCAGTTAGCGTTTCCGAAGAAGCGTCTTACATCTGCTCCACAGGGGGACCCAAGCAGCCCCTGAGAATATTTATAGCCGCGTTGATGTCTCTATCGTGGTGTGAACCACATTCAGGACAGGTCCACTGCCGATCCGAAAGCGAAAGATTTTCGTTGTGATACCCACACTCTGAACACGGTTTAGAAGTCGGTGTCCATTGACCCACTTGATGGAACTCACGATTATGTTTCAAACACTTGAACTTCAATATCTTAACAAACTCTCCAAAGGCAAGATCGGAGACTTTTCGTCCCCAGAGGCGTTTCATCGCATCAAGGTTGAGCGTCTCAGTGGCGATCGCATCGAACCTTCGACACAGATCCGTCGCAAGTTTCCAATGCCAATCTCTACGTTGGTTGGCGACTTTACGGTAAAGTCTCGCGAGGTCTCTGACAGCACGCCACCAATTGTGAGAACCTTTAACTTTGCGGCTAACGGCTTTGTTGAGTTTTCTCAGTTCGCTCAAAGAATGCTTCAAGGGTTGCGGGTGTTGTATCTTTTCACCGGTGTGCAAAGTCAAATAGGTTTCCATACCGAAGTCTACCCCTACACTTTCACCCGTAGTGGGCAGCACTTCTTTTCTCGAATCATCGGTAACAACATAAAGCCAAAGCGTTCCGACAGCATCTCGACCGATTTGGATATAGCGGACATCACCGTGCCAATCGCGATGCTGATGATACAGGATATTGCGACGTTTGAACACAAACTTTTCTTTGATGGGACACCATTGCTTGAAGGACAGGCGAACCGTGCCTTTAGGAACTTTGGAAGGTTTTCCGTCTTTGTGTGCTTCAAAAACCTTGTAGCCTGTTTGGAACTTCGCAGAACGGTATTTTCCTCGATTTTTGAACTTCGGGGGACCGACACGACGACCGCGCTTACCATTTTCAAGCCAATCAAAGAACCGTTCGTATCCGATATGGATACGGATTATCACTTCGTCAAGCGTGTCGCGGGGGATCCACACCCAGTGTTGCTTGGTCCGTTGGAGCAACTTCGTCAAGTGCGGTTGCAAACGATACCGACCGGCATACTTGCCATAGATACGGTAATATCGCTTCTCCAAAGCAAGGAAGTGGTTATGCACATCACCCAAGTCATCAAGCATATTTCCCAAGCGTTTATTCTGCGGATGGTTGCGTATCTGATATTTCTCCGTTCTCATGGGGCTACCAACTACCAGTCTTTAACCCCGTTCAAGTGGGTAGGCAGACACGTAACCTTGCGGTTACGCTTGAACTGTCTGCCAACTGGTATGTAAAGAGTATAACATTTTTGACGCTTTTCGTCAAGAAAAAACATAGGAGCGGGCATTCCTCCCACATCTAAAGAAGTGGGTTTCCTGCCCGAAGATTAGATGAAGAGTCCATTCACGTACTGCGCGGATTTTGGGATTTGACGCGTATTCGCGTTGACAAGGATTAAGAAGTCATCGTCTACCTGTGATCGTATTTTGCGCAAGATAGACAATCGCGCTTCTAATTCAGCCTCGCGTGTGAGAATAGTGTCTGACCAGTCATCAACACCGATTGAACTGGTCGCATCATCCTCGTTCCACCAATCCAGCATGATACCATCAAAGAGACCAGACGCGTTTAATGCCATTGCTTGATTGGCTATCAGATTACTGCACCTCTGGGTTTGTAAAATCTATGAGGTAGCTGAGGACTGTATCGTTTTCGTCAATCTTTCCATCACCGTTGGTATCCTCACCCCAACCGATAACAGGTTCACCGTTCTTGTCTGTGAGCCAGTAAGGTGAGTCCGGCGGGTAGAAGCCAACATCCCACCAGTTTTCCACTTGTGTTTCATTTTCCCGCGAGAGATATTTCGCATCTCTACACCGGATTTCAACAAGCAGTAAAAGATGAGGATTTAAGGATAGAAGTTCCTGTTTTCTTTGGCGGGCGGTATCAAGTTGGTTCGGATTCAACGCTGTTGCCAACCCCGCATAAGGCTGTTCTTCTGATATATTCCAAGCAATTTTTAAAAGGGCGTAAGGGTGGGCAAAAGCGAGATCGTGTTCAGCGAGTCAGTGAAGTTCATCGGTATCAGGTCTATTTTCGATACCATTCCATGCTTGAAAGATGGAGGGGTAGCTCCTCCGCGCATCGGCTACATTTGCCTTGATAGCACCGAAGACGAGGAGGAGTATTAAGTATGGAACCGTAGTTTTTAGCATTATGGAATCTCTTTCTATCGTGCAAAGTCTAACTTCAGTTTTCCCCATGTTGTTGCCAACTTATCTTGAGGTTTCACCGCTAACACGCCTTCAATGCCTTTGTTCATCAGTTCCTGAATCTCTTGCTCAGAGCGCGCTATATTGGAGATTCGCACTTCGTCCATCCGTCCTTCTAAAAACGGGCCGGCACCGCGCCCGAGCCACAAGACATCATTGTTGGGGACAATATCACCGTCGATTTTGCCTTCCGCATCTAAGACACCATCAATATAAATTTTGGCTTTACCTGATTTTCCATCGTAAGTGCCAGCGATGTGCACCCATTTTTTCAACGGCAGCTCTGTTTTACCGGCAAGAACAGCAGCACCCCAAGCTTTTGCATCCGTAGTCATGCGGATTAAGACCTTCTTGTCACTCCGAGGTCCGACTTTGTATGTTGTTTCCTTAGTGGCACCCGTTCCGCCAGCAGTTGACCACGCCTCAAGATAGAGCCACATTTCCACTGTAAGCCCTTCAACAAGGTCTAAACTCTCGCTATCAGGAATTTCCACAAAATCTCTGGGAGCGTTTCCACCGAAAACAACTCCACCGCCGGGGTTCCCTTCACCCCATTTCGGTCCCATGAGTTCACCATCATTTCCGTTGTCAGAGAGGTCTTTGACGGTGTTCCCGGCACCAGTCTCGAATGTGTAGAGGAGGACGGTATGTTCGTCTTGTGCAAAGCCGATCCGGCTCTCTCCGGACATTAACAAAATAACCAGCATTGCCAAGCACATCGTGGCTATAACATTTTTCATAATAAAATTTTCTCCTCGTTGGCTATATCGTTGGAATCTAAAGCGTAGTTTGATATTTTATCACGGATGCGCCCAATGTGCAATTTTAAAATTTGGGTTTTCTGTCCATAGCGAGCGCGTTCAATTTTTTTGAACAAATTCAGCCTGCATCTGCCTAATATAGCAAACGGGAAGGCGTAAGCACTTCCAACATTAACAGAATTGTTCTTGCGTTATTTTTTCCAAGTGTTATACTGAAGTTATACTTTGGAACCCAACGGAATTGAGACTTGACATGCAGTACACATCACAGCAAAATGATTGGTTGGTTCAGCCCTTTTGCCAACCTGCTTCAGTAGAAGAAAGGGACAATCAGCTGATTCTTAATAATGGTCTGATCCAGCGGACATTCGTCACTTCACCTAATTTCGCAACGATTGATTATATTAATCAAATTACCGGTAATAGTCTTCTTCGGGGCATCAAACCAGAGATAGTACTTACGATTGACGGACACCCATTTGAGGTAGGTGGTTTGAAAGGACAACCTGACTACGCCTATCTTGATTTGGATTGGATTGCGGGTTTGACGAGTGACCGAAACGCATTTCAATTTCGCGAATATCGAGTCGGTGAACCTGAAATCCGTTACCCGTGGGTACGCAGACGTTCTGCTACATCATCAGTATATCCCCCAGAGGGTGTGACACTGACGGTTGTGTTCTCACCTCCGCCATCCGTTGACTCCCTTCAGGTTTGTGTGCATTATGAACTATACCGAGGCATTCCGGTACTGTCCAAGTGGGTCACTATTCGCAATGAGAGTCAAAAACCGATTCAGATTGATGCCTTAAGCTGTGAAATCCTTGCGGTCAACGAGCAGGAGAAGCATCGGCTACATGTCGAGAGCGATTATGCCTTCAGTGGAGTGGAAACGACACAGTGGGGTCCAGATGCGGATTACAAGACGCAAGTCGATTATCACTATCAGATGCCACTGTTGATGACAAGTCGTTATCCACTCGGTCCGGGATACCTCTTCAACCCGGGAGAGACTTTCAAGAGTTTTCGCACCTTCGAGATTCTGCATGATAGTGATGATCGTGACCGAAAAGGACTCGCACGCCGCAAGATGTATCGCACGGTCGCGCCACAGGTCACGGAGAATCCAATTCTAATGCACGTTCGGAGTGCCGAGCCGGACGCGGTCCGTTTGGCGATCGATCAGTGCGCCGAAGTCGGATTTGAAATGGTGATTATGACCTTTGGGAGTGGATTCAATATCGAGAGCGAAGACACGGAATACATCGCCACAATGAAGGAATTGACCGATTATGCACACGGGAAAGGTATTCAACTCGGTGGTTATACGCTGATGTGTGCTTCGCGGAATGTGGGTGAAGACTTCAACTGTATTGACCCAGACACCGGGACAACCCGGGAAGTAAGTTTGGACAGAGTGCTTGTCTTGCGAGCAGATGGGCAGACGGCTACTTTCCAGCGAGTGCTGAATTTCATGGATGCAACCGGAATGGATGTCATAGAGACTGATGGTCCTTATCATGGTGACGTCTGTGCGGCAACGACGCACGAATACCATAACGGCTTGGCGGATTCGCAGTTGCGTCAGTGGGAAGCATGCGTTTCTTTTTACCACGAATGCCGAGCACGCGGTATCTATATCAATTCGCCAGATCGGTATTACCTCAACGGTTCAAACAAATGCGGTATGGGCTATCGAGAAACGAATTTCAGCTTGCCCCGCGAGCGGCAAATTCTGATTGCCCGACAGAATATCTACGATGGGACATTTGAAAAGACACCAAGTATGGGCTGGATGTTCGTCCCGTTGGTAGAGTACCACGGCGGCGGAGAAGCCGCAACGTTTGAGCCGCTTTGCGAACACCTTGATGACTACGAATCACATCTTGCACAAAACTTTGGCAGTGGTGTGATTGCGTGCTATCGCGGTCCCCGGCTTTTTGATACTGAAGAGACGAAAGCGGTCGTTAAGAAATGGGTTGACTTCTACAAAAAGTATCGCCCAATATTGGATTCTGACCTGATTCACGTGCGCCGCCCAGATGGCCGTTCCATTGATTGTGTGCTCCACGCCAACACGCAAATCAGTCCCTGTGGATTAGCAATGCTCTATAATCCTACGCGTAGGGTGCAACAGATGACTTTGAAATTACCGCTCTATTATACTGGATTGTCTGAAATTGCCAAAATTCGTGAAGAAGAAGGAGAACCCAAACGGCACACAATTGACCGGGATTACAACGTTGAGATTCCAATTAAGATGGAAGCAAAGAGCGTTAGCTATCTCGTTATTGAACCTGAAATTTGAGTCCTCCCTAATTTTCGATACCAGTAGTCCGTGGTGAAAAACAGCGTAATTGGTGATAATTAAACCGTACGTTCACAAATGGAGGTAAAAATGAGAGGAATCCAATTAGCGAAAGCAATTTTGGTATACGCAACGTTGATCTGCATCAGTTTAATGATTCCAGATCTCAGTTCTGCCAAACTCGATCCGGAAGCACTTTTGGGAATATGGTTCTTTGATGAAGGTAAAGGCGGTACGGCAAAAGATTCTTCCAAAAATGGCAATGACGGAGAGATTGTTGATCTCCAATGGGCAGATGGCAAGTTCGACAAAGCCCTAAAGTTTGAGGGTGGCGGTCATGTTGCTGTCGGCGATTTTTCTGACTATAAGGATGAAGTGTCGATCGTTGCTTTGATTCAAACGCCTGCAGCCCCCGCATGGTCTGACATCATCGTAGGTCCCTGCGGCGACGTTATCTTGACATTGCAGAACCACAAATTAAATTTCGCTGGACAGTGTGGACAACCGATTCCCGCATAACACGTGGTCTGAAACCTTGTTGAACGATGATAAGTGGCATCAGATTGCGGGGGTTTATGACGGTAAAACAGTGGAGGTCTATGTCGATGGTGAGTTAGAAGCATCCAATGCTGCCGCAGGTCCATTTATAGCGGGTCCTAAGTATATCGGCTCCAGAGACGACAAGCAGGAGGCTTTCACTGGTCTCATTGATGAGATCGCATTTTTCAATGTCGCACTCTCAGAAAATGATGTGAAAGCGATTGCCGACACTGGATTATCTATCGCACTCGGTTTTGCAGCGGTTTCTCCTCAAGCGAAACTGACCACGGCTTGGGCAAAATTGAAAAGCGGAATGGTAACCCACTAAGGGTGTGAGTTTCGTTATGAGCCAACTCCTTGACTGCTCCTGTTCCACCAACAGTTGAAGTGATTTTTATAGGACTTACGCACGTTGCTTTTTTGTAGCATAACCTGTTAGGTTGTGCCAAGAAACCGTCTGCGTTTTTTATACGGTCTCTCTTTCAGGGCGCGGGCGATGCTCAAAATTGCGTAAGTCCTGTTTTAGACGCGAATGATACGAGTGTTGGTCCCACCTATCAATTCTAAATTAGCCTGATTCAGAGCCTACAGAAAAACCTGCGTCGCGAAAAAGACTCTGTCTTTTCTGAACAAATTCATTACTTATTTGCCTAACTTAACAGAAAGGTGTATATTCAAAAAATTATCAACTGTTCGCGAGGAAGACGTATGAAACGAAAACATGTTATTATAACCCTTTTCCTGTGTGCACTGGTGTTTTCATTGGCAGTCGTCCTAAATACTTGGACGCAAGAAGGACTTTCAAAAGAGGAGAAACGGTTCGACCTTGACCGGGATGGTGAACTCAGCGACGCTGAAACCACTCTCATGATTCGGGTGATGCGACTTGAAACCCAGAGAGGTACTCAATTCAGCGAGAGCGAGATCCGTCAAATGCAAAGTGGAGAGCGAGATAGATCTCGCGGAAGAGGTGGGTTCGGTAGAAGGCGAGGTTCTAGGGGACCTTCAGGGCCACGCTTGAATCCGGAGCAGATCGCATTTAAGGATGGGGCAGCGACAATCCCCGACCGAGAGACCTTCGAGAAACTGTCGTATCAGGGTTTAGAGGTGCGTATTGACACTCAACTTACCGGAATCGAATTTGTAAAGTTCCAGATTGAGAATACACATACACAAAACCCACAACTTTATTTTATGAATACGGAAACACATCGGTCGCACGGGAGTTTCATGAATGCTGCTGGTTTGGGACGAGGTCAAGGACAGATGCGGGGTGTGCTGAGTTACCGCCCACTTTTCGTGGCGCCGAACGGTGAACCCGGTGTTTATACCTTTGAGTTTAATCCAAACGATGCATTCCCGTTTGAAGAGATCAAACTCGCACACGATCTGCTCGTCGCGAAAATGCTGTCGCTGAAGAATCGACTCGGTTATTGTCCGTTGTGGGGAGCGATCGACATTTATAATCGCGAAAAGATATACTATGACGCGGCGGAATTTCCCGTCTACTTTGAGGACGATCTCTATGCCAACATCGGTTACCTTCCGCTGAATCAGCGGCGTCATTCGGTCGGCTTCGTGTCTTGGAGGCAGATGAACGTCCCACGGTTCGGGACATCGTTATCTGTAAAACTTTGCCAAACGAGATGCCGAGAGTTGCCGGTATTATCACGGGTGCTCGGCAAACGCCGCTTTCACACGTTAACCTCCGTGCTATTCAGGACAAAGTTCCCAACGCTTTCATTACTAAGGCGTGGGAAAACGACGCGATTGCACCGCTTATTGGGAAATACGTCTACTATGGTGTAAACGCCGATGGTTTTGAAATTAGGGAAGCGACACTAAAGGAAGTGGAGACCCATTTTGCTGATTTACGTCCGTCAAAAACCCAGAAACCCGAACGTGATCTCTCAGTTACGAAGGTTCTGCGGCTTGACAACATAGGGTTTGCTGACTCGTCAGGCTTTGGTGTGAAGGTGGCTAATCTGGCAACGCTCCGCACATTCGGATTTCCTGAAGGTACTGTGCCGAATGGTTTTGGGATACCATTTTATTTCTATGATGAATTTATGAAGCACAACGGCTTCTATGAGAAGATTGAGAGTTTGCTGAGAGATCCGGTGTTTCAGAGTGAACAGGACACAAAGGAAGCAGAACTGAAAAAGTTTCGGGCGGAAATCAAGAAGGGTGAAATGGCGACATGGATGATGGACGCGCTTTCCGATTTACAGAGCGAATTTCCAGAAGGCACCTCTCTCCGATGCCGCTCCAGCACGAATAACGAGGACCTGCCCGGTTTCAGTGGTGCGGGTTTATACGACTCTTTCACGCACCACTCAGACGAGGGGCACTTATCCAAGTCAATTAAGCAGGTGTTTGCGAGCCTCTGGAATTACCGAGCGTTTGAGGCACGTGATTTCTATCGTATTGACCATATCGCTACTGCCATGGGTGTACTTGTCCATCCCAATTTTGAAAGCGAATTGGCGAACGGGGTAGCTGTAAGCGATGATGTTGTGTATCAGACGACAGGAAATTATTATCTCAACACCCAAGTTGGCGAGGACCTCGTGACCAACCCTGAAGAACAATCTGTTCCGGAAGAGATCCTCTTGGATTGGTGGGATAGCAATAACTACCGAGTTGTGACGAGTTCTAATCGCACATCCGACAACAAACGGATTCTAACGAGAGAATACTTACGCCAACTCAGTTTCTATCTCGGCACGGTACACAACAAATTCAGTCAGCTCTACAGGCCCATTTCGCGGACGAAAGTGTTCGCTATGGAGGTTGAATTCAAGATTACAAGCGACGGAAAGCTTCTAATCAAACAGGCGAGACCGTGGGGACAGTGAGTTTTCAATTCAGGGCTTACGCAATTTTCTTATGAACAACGACTACCACACGCCGCTGGCGAGGTTTCAAACCGGGGTGCCTACCCGTTACTGAAAAGAAGTGCCAGCAAAAGAGGACGTAAGTCCTATCAATATTGACATGTGCGCTTTGCAGCGCACATGTATCGGTTCTAGAAGTTGGTTCAGTGACATGTATCAATTGGCTTTGAGTTTACCCCATGTCACCGCGAGCTTATCTGCCGCATCTACGGCGAGGATTGTGTTAAAGCCGGAATTCATAAATTCCTGGATTTCCTTTTGAGACTTCACCTTGTTGGAAATCCAGAGTTCGTCCATACCACCAATGAAATGAGATGAGCTAGAAGTCCGTCGATATCCAATATCAAGACTGGGTTCTCCTGTGACGTCAATGACCCCGCCCCCGGCGATTGGACCCCCGTCGTCTTCTTCACCATTGATATAGATAATCGCCTCTTTGCCATCCCATGTTGCGGCGACGTGACTCCATTCGCCTTCAGCAATCGTAGTTTGTCCGAGAAAATCTTTGACATGATACGTAGTCCAGACGAGCTTCTTTGAACCGTGGAATCCAAATTTCCAGCCGGCTCCGCCGTCCATCTCTACAATATTCTGCCAATTGTTAATGCCATCAGGGTTTACCCATGCCCCCACACTCATCGGGTCGGTGAGTTCTTTCAAAGGCGCAGCGTTTTCGATTGTAATAAACGTTCCGCCATCAAACTCAAATGCTTTGTCAAACTCGCCATCAATCCAAGATGCCTTTCCTTCAGCAGTACCATCGTTTCCATGGTCTGAGAGGTCGGTGAGCGCGTCTCCTTTTCCCTCGTCAAATGTGGCGAGGAACACAATATCTTTCGGCAGCTCCGCGTATACGCTCCCAATACAGATTGTTAAAAGTAGGAGTGAATAAATTAAAGTTCGCATTTTATAGCTCCTTATGAGGAATTTGCTATTAGCAAAACCTACTGATACCGGATTTCGGGTTTGGTTAAATGAGGGTATTGGTTCAAGAGTGATGCGAGAATTAGCGTGATACCCCTCTGGATCACGCAGCATCACATTTCAACGGTTATTCGTAAATTTGACAAAAATTGTCAATCAAAAAACAAACGCAATCCAAATTTTAGAGGCAAATATGATACCCACTTTACGGGTTCCACCAATAGGTTATTTTTCCGAGAACCGACCAGTCAAGGGGGTCAATACCCCCGTCGCGGGTATCGTAGGTCTGATTGAGAACGAGGTAGAAATCGCTGCCCGGACGATAGATGTAGTTGACTAAAAAATTCGCAGAGATTATGTCTGTATCGGTACTCCATTGCGTAAACAACTTCGTGAAAAGCGTTGTAGAGAAGGAATAACCGACACGTCCGCCGAAAGCGTTAGCATCAAATTCTTCATCAGTCAGCGTAATGCGGTTAAATTCGATGAACGGTTCTATACTAAACCGTGCGGTCGGCCTGACAGTCGCCTCTATTGAGAAACCGCGTCTCGTGCCGCTATAGAACTCCCCAATTTCCACTTGCAGTCGCGCCGTAATCATCCTGCTACTGCTGGTTCGAATTGAGGTCCGAAACGAAGTAAAATTATAATCCTCGACCGGGATACTAATGTCTTGAATCAGAAACTCCTCGTTCAGATTTTCCGTTGTGTTCTTGAGTTGGAACCCAATGTCGTCACCCGTTTCAAACGAAAATCGCGTATCAAAGGTTATCTCTTGGGTTTCCACCTCGTTGTCTTGTGTCAGAATGAGATCGATTTCGGGTCCGATCTGAATCTCGCGAATGCCAAATTTACCGGGCCACGGGGTGTAGCTGGCATCACCGCGAAAGCGACGGATGTCTGCCCGTTGAACGAAACCGACTTCTGGATTAAAGTCCTCACCGATGTCCATGTATGAACCGTTGAGTCGAAACAGATTCGTTCGCCAATCACCCGTCAAGGAGAAGGCGTTGCTGCTTTCAAGGACATCGGCTTCAAAGGTGCGTGCCCATAACCCTTGGAGATTAATCTCTCGTGTCGGACGGTACGAAAAATCAAGTCCGGTCGTGCGGTTGTATGCATCGGCATCTTGCTTATTGACAAGAATCGCGCCGACAGTCGATCCACTTAAGATGTCTCTGTTCACCCGCACCACTGAGTAATTTGTGCGGGGCTCGTTGAATATGTCTGCCTCAGATGTCTCCGTCCCATCATCTTCAAATTTATCCGCCAACACATTCAGAATCCCGATACCGTAAGGGCCCGATTTTCCCCGTCACTTTACCGCCACCGAGAAGGGGAATTGCGCGCTCTTCTGCAAGCCCGATACGGCGGCTATAAAAGAGCAGTAAAGGTGGGGGTCTACGGAAACTTGTGCGTGGAATCCCGACATCGAAAATACTGGCACCTTCTAAAAAAAATGGACGCTGCTCCGGGAAAAAGAGACTGAAACGGGTGAGGTTCACCTGCTCTTGGTCTGCCTCGACTTGGGCGAAATCGGTATTAAAGGTCAGATCGGCAGTTAAATTCGGTGTTAAGCCGTACTTGAGGTCCAAGCCAGCTTCAAACACACCGTGAGTTTCTTCAGTTTCTGGCACGGAACTCATACCCGGTAACACATAAGGTAGCAATTCCAGATGCCTTGATGGAGAAATGCCCTCTAACCCTTCAAGCGTGCCGAAGTAGGCAGTGCGATACTTCGCCAAGCCACCGTACGTTTTGGGAGCCTCATTCCATGCCGCAATTTCTTGTTTTCTTGCGATTTCGCGTCCGAAATTTACACCCCAGTTCATTACGTCGCTTTGTTCAAAGCGGAGTTGGCTGAATGGAATTGCGATTTCCACTGTCCAATGGTCTTCGTTAATTCTACAGCGGCACTCCCAAACGATATCCCAGCTGTGGTTAAGGCTACCACCGCTGTTAGATACCGCCGTGTCTTCTATCCCGCCTACCGGTGTGAAGCGAAAGAAGACGGCGTTGCGCCGATCATTGTAGGTGTCTAACAGCAAAAAGCCATAATCGTTGGAACGCAAACCTGGGGAGTCTCGACGCATGTCGTTAGCGACAATCTTGTCCATCTCTGAATCGAAAAAATAAAACGAAGTACAGTTTTTTGTCATCGTAAAGAATACGCACTTCGGACTGTTCTGTCGCCGGTTCGCCTTGATCGGGTTGGATTTGGTATAATTGGCGGATCGGTTCTACATTTTGCCAAACAGATTCGTCAAACACCCCATCGACTTTGATTTCCTCAGAGGTGCGGTGTGCTGACATGCGTGGTAACTCCCGTTCGGTCTCTGCATTGACACTGATAGAAACACATAGCACACACATCCACAGTAGCATTAAAACATTCGCCCTTCGCCAACGTTGTCGAAATTGAAAATCAATAGTGGTGTATGACATTACGGGTTAGTGCCTCCTTTTTAGGCATTTCTATGTGAAAGGCGGGGTCGAAAACCCCGCCATTGATTGCTTTCTCTGAAATCAGCGATGATAGATGCTAACTTCCATACCGTCGCGTCTACCATGTTGCCGCCTACTTTCAAACCAGTGTGTTTCGGAATCGTAGTGTGAACGGACATGCTCCAGATAATCAGCCATCTGGTCTGCCCTACCGACGTTGTCAGCGACAATCGTTGCTGGATTGGTTAATCGCGACTCTATTGCTTGGAAACATGCAAAATAACCATCTTTGTTGTTATCAAGGAACAGAAAATCGACGGGATCTTGGATGGTTTTGAGGACTTCTGCAGCGTCTCCGATACGGGAATCGACAAGGTCAGCCACGCCTGCCTGTTCAAAGTTAGCGCGAGCGCGTTGGGCGTTTGCTGCCTCTATTTCCACTGTTATCAATCTTCCAGTGCCTAAGGTTTTCAACACGCGTAAAATCCACAATCCAGAATAACCGATAGCAGTCCCGCACTCTACAATTAGGATAGGCTTCGCATTTTCAACACAACTCGCAAGTAGTTTCGCCTTGTCAGGTCCCAACATAGGGACTCGTTCTTCCCTGCACTGTTCCTCAACTTTTTCTAAAACTTGATCAAACATTAGTGCATCTCCATATTTTCTGTATCTTGCAGACTGGCGATGCTATAGTCAAATAACGTGTTTGCTCATTTTGTGATGATCTTCAAGCGCGTAGTGTTCCAAGAGCGTTTTGGGACCGTGATTCAAGGCAAAAATGCCGTAATCGTTCCCGTTCGGCGATCGGGTAATCGAATGGATGTGATCTAAACCACCACGGGGTCCATCGTCGTCCCGACTGGGGCGGTTTCCTTGATCACGTCCACCTCTGCCACCGCGACCACGTCCACCACCACCGCCTTCGTTGTTGAATTCAATCCAGACAGCCGGATTGAAAACACGGTAGTAAATCGGATCGTCTGTAGTGGTGCCTCCGATCCAGACGAAATAGGTGTCATTGAGTCCAGCATCGATATCAGCCATCCAGATGTCGGCAAACTCGGTTTCAAGATTGTAGACATACGTCTTAATCAGGTTCCGAAGGTTTTCTTTTTGGGTAGCGTTCATTTCCGATGCTTTCACACCGATTCCCGACAAAATCGGAATAGTCGTAATTTAAAAACGGGTCTGATGAATTACCCGGCACCCACTTGAAGTCCACGACGACCCGTTTGAATGGCTTTTTCTCTCTGGCTCGCGTCAAGACTGTTCATTAGGGCAAAAGCCTTTCCTCTTTCGTCCGCAAGCACCTCAATGCCGTTGATGGTAGCGGGTTCTGAACCAATAAAGGCGGGAACGATAGAGACTTCATCGCCATGCACCAGAAAATTAAGAGCTAAATGATGACCGTCTAACTGGAAGCCCCATGATCCGTCTGTTTCTGGGTTGCCAAACAGAGCAATGTAGTAAGAGTTCGGATCCCAAAAGCCGGGTCTGATTCTGCTGAGGTGCGTTTCAACGTCTTTTGTAATGAGAGAGACTTTGGTATAGCCGTCGTCACTCAAAAATGCGTCCAAAACTTCATAGAAGAGCGTGAGTTGTTCAGAGGACAACCTCCCAAAACGGACTCCTCCTCGATCACCTCCCATACTCGGTGGGAAATTCGTCCAAGAGTAAGATTCTTTGTGTCCGAGTGGGAAAGATGCTGCGTCAAGAAGTTCACTGCTCAATGATGTGCGGAAATTGTTCATAACCGCCGCCAAAGCCACAATTGACGGTTTTGTGGAGATTTCAGCGATCCCTTCTGTTTTTTCTGCTTCAACGGTTGGGGTGTCGAAAATATTGAGTGTAAGTCCCGCGATACTCAGCGTGGACAGTACAATAAATGTGAGTAGAATCTTGTGTGACATGAAAGTCCTTTCGTTTCGGTGTAATTTAATTGAAGGGGTGCTCAGAATTCCATCTTCCGCACCCCTTAATTTGACACATTGGGGAAGTTTGTGGGTTGCCCGATCCGTGGATTTCCCCTTTTCATTTCTCAATTATTCAAGCGAAAGTTCCACCTCAACCTGCTCTCCATTTCGCAGCAGTTTTACAGGTAAAGTTTTCGTTTGAGGTTCTTCCTGTAGCACGTAGGCGATAATACCGCTTTCTGTCAACCGATCGGTTCGGTCCCCGTAAGCGATGACAATGTCGCCGCGTCGGATACCCGCCTTTTGGGCATTGGTTCCTACATTTGAACGCCGTTCACCACAATATTCTCCTTTCAATTATTTGTTAAAATTAACATTTCCAAGGTCAGAGTGTGTCTCTATCCTTGAAAGTTGGTGTTCCCGGAGATTAAAGCGGGAATTTCTCATTAATCAGCATAAGCGGCTTCTGATTTGCGAACACTCGATAGGTGCGATTGATAAACTTTTCGCCTTCAAGGTGTGCGATGGCGGACGGTAGATCGGTTAGGACCTCGATACCGCACCAGAGTAGCTCACGCCGAGTCTCTAAACCACTGCACCGCAAAAGACCACCTAAACCTTGTTTGTCGGATTTCAAACCGTTCAAAATGGATGCCGGCAGACGTTGGGGCACAATGAGCGAGTCCGCATAGGTATGTATTATCGGTGATGATTCTTCCTGTGAGTGGGTTTGGAGTACCACTTGCCGTGAGATGACCTCTGCTCCGGCAGGCAGTTGAAGCCATGTATGTTCAGTAGATAGTGTCTGTTTTGCTTGTTGTAGTAAGGCTACCTCCACCGGCGCGAGTGTATACGCTTCGACAAATCGCGTAACCGTCCCGTCTGTGACGAGCAGCCCTCGTTGGAATGGCGTGAGGCGTGCGAGGTTAATTTCTTTTAACGTTGTTGGTTTATCTTCTTGTGCGACAAAGAGTGCTTTCATGCGTGTATTGACGAAGGCTCCTGATTGTGCAATTGTGTCCGTTTTCATGATCAGAGTTCTCTTTCTTTTGTAGAAAAATCGTCTTAAATTAAAAGCACATGCAATGTGGAATTCGTTATGTAATTAGACACGCGAATTAGAAAAAGGTTCGTTTCTGAAAACATGAGAAACTTATTCCGTCTTGACGCACGCTATGAGTTGGGGTATACTGTTTTCCACTGGCGCGGTTTTAATTAGGCTTGTATCAGATGATGGAGGGACGCTCCGAGTGTCCAAAGCATTATACTATTCTGTATCGCTTTTCTTAATCGTCTTATTCTCGCGCTTCTACGTTTTCACTGCGACTGCAGATGAGCATCCGCTATCCCTTGGCAAACATCTCTTCGCGCAAGGCAACTACGATGCCGCTATCACCGAGTATAAACGCTTCCTCTTTTTTCATCCAGATGATGTCCGTGTTAGTGAAGTATATCACAACATCGGACTTGCCTATAGAGCACAAGGACTGTGGACAGAAGCAGATACTTCCTTGCGGGCAGCTACACATCTCGCTACGGATGCCGAAGCAAAATCGGAATACCAACTGGAACTCGCCGTGACACTGATCGCCGCGCAGGACTACGATCTCGCCCGATTGGAATTGATTAAGGCGATGATGCGAACCTCTTCCGCGCAGCTGTACCGACGCGCACTTTTCTTGCAAGCCGTTGCGTATATCTATCAGTTTCGATGGGAGGATGCCCGCGAATCACTGCGAAACTATACTACCGATGAAAGACTGGGCGCGCTCCTTGATGTTGCTACTGAGATACCGCTGAAATCTGACAGACTTGCGAAGGTGTTATCGGCAATTTTCCCCGGTGCGGGACAGGTCTATGTAGGCGATTGGAGAGATGGGATAAATGCGCTTCTGTTGAACGGTGCGCTCGGTTTTCTCACTGTTGACGCGGTATTAGATGGACATTATGTAGACGCGGCGTTGTGGGGCGGATTCATTTTCTGGCGTTACTACCGAGGTAACACCTTCCGTGCGGGACAAGCGGCTGAGCGATTCAACCAGCGAGAATCTCGCAGTGCCGCCGATGCACTCTTGCAGCGACTCCAAGAAATTGTCGGCACGCCTTTAAAGCCATAGCGGGACGACAGGTCTATAGGGGTTTCCCTTGTTTCGCAGGTTTCCTAAAATCATGCTCCCTTTCGTTCAAGAAAACTGCCCCAGAAAAATAAGCCGAAGCATTTAGCACGTAATGTAATGGAGTGCGGATATACGGAAAGGAGCATGGATGCTCCAACCCACCTGACCGAACCGCAAGGAAAATTAAAAATACGGTTCTGAGCGTTTCTGAAGGATGTACACAACCGCGACGAGTACTATAGCGATGACGAACGTCCAGATGTTATAGACGTATGCCAGGAACGCCGCAAGCGCAAGCAATATCCACTCATACCAGCGCATCTTGCGGACGAAAAAGCCCACCGTTACAATGGAGAAGATAACTGTGCCCACGACAGCCGATACCACAGATAGTGCGTATTCAACCGGTGTGCCTCCTGTGAACAGGATGTGGGTATACGCAAACAGCAGCGGCATGATATAGAGAAGTTTAGAAAACTTGAAGCATGCCCATCCTGTTTTCCATGGATCGGCACGGGCGATAGCTGCGGCTGCGTAAGCTCCCAAGGCAACCGGCGGCGTGATGTTGGAGTCTTGACTCAACCAGAAGATAATGAGGTGTGCAGCAATAATCGGTATGCCCATCTCAGGAGTCGTCAGGATCGGCACAGCGAGTTCAGAGGTAATCAGGTAGGCGGCAGTCACAGGAATTCCCATACCCAGAACTAAAGATGCCGCCGCGAGAAACAGAATTGCGATAACCTTGCTATCCTCCGCAACCGACAGCACTAAATCCGGGAATATCCGTCCTAAGCCTGTTAAATCTATAACAGCAACAATGATGCCGATAGTGCCAACCGCACCGCCAATGGCGAGCGAATTCTTTGCCCCGGTCACCATCGCTTCCCAGATACGTTTCGGTGTGAGTCGTGTCTCTTTTCGGAAATAACTCACCGCAATTGTGGCAAGAATCGCGAAGAATGCCGCCTTATAAGCGGTATAGCCAGCGATTAAGATGCCGACAAGCGTCAGCAACGGCAGTAAGTAATACCAACCACTTTTAAGGAGTGGCAGAAGTTTCGGGATTTCTGCGTCTGGTATCCGTTCTATTCCCTGCTTTTTCGCTTCGAAATGTACCATTACCCAAACGGAAAGGAAATAGAGAATCGCTGGCACGATGGATAAGAGGGCAATTTTACTATAGGGGAGTCCTGTCCGTTCTGCCATGAGAAACGCACCTGCTCCCATCACGGGTGGTAGAAATTGCCCGCCTACGGAGGCGGAAGCTTCGACTGCCCCAGCGATGTGCGGACGAAAACCGCTCCGTTTCATCAAGGGTATCGTGAACGTTCCAGTAGCGACTGTGTTTGCAATCGCACTTCCCGCGACAGAGCCAAAAAAACCAGAGTCATGACCGAAACTTTCGCCGCTCCGCCAGTTGAACGTCCTGCTATCGACATCGGTAGGTTGATAAAGAATTGACCGACCCCCGATTTCTCCAGAAAAGCTCCGAAGAAGATAAAGAGAATCACGTACGTCGCCATCACGTTTGCCATGATGCCGAAGACCCCGGCTTGACTGAAAAAACAGTATTCGATAATCCTGCGAAGCGTAAGCCCACGGTGTGAGATGACATCCGGCAAAAAACGACCGAAAAGGGCGTATAGGATACCGATCACAGCGATAATAGGCAGTGCCCAACCGACCGTCCGACGGCTCACTTCAAAACTAATCAGAATCGCGACCGCGCCTACGAAAATATCGAGTTGACTGTAATTGCCTGCCCGATTGGCGAGATTCGGGTACTCTACAATCCAGTAGCCGATGGTGAAGATGCTGAGGGCAATCATGCCCAGGTCTATGAGTGATGGACGGGAGGCTGGGGAGTTCTTCCGACATCGGTAAAAGATGCCGATCAGCGCGAAGGTCAGCAGGAGATAGAAACCGAGATGGAATTGCTCACTGGCACTTCCAAACCCTGCACTGTAGATATAAAAGAGGACGAGGGCAGCTGCACCGAGTTCAAAAATCCATTTATATATTTTTTCTAATTCAGTCCGTTGTGTGGTTTCAAAGCCAGCAACTTCTTTTGTTTCAGTCTGTGTCATTTTTCCTCCACTGGGGTATTCCTTCAATAATTTTACATCAAATTGGCACAGAAGGCAACAGTTTTCAACTGAATAGGGCTATTGAGTTTTCCAGACATGCTTCAAGTCCGCTGGTTTGTAGTAAAGCCCGAAAATATGTGAACATACGGTTTAGGAACTTCCCTTCTCGCTGGCGAGGTTTCTAACCTCGCCCACGCTAATGTGTATAGATAATTATAGGTTTTACTATATTGCCCGTTATGTACACCTTTAGAACGTGCGATGAATCGCACGACTACAACACATTCGCGCATTGAATACGGATGCTTGCCAAGAAAAGGCAGTTGTGATAGAATAGCGTACGTCAACTGACTCAGGGAGGAGACACAAAATGGCAATAGGATTGGGCGTTATTGGGATGAACCCCACGAATATGGGGTCGACTGCGACACTGTTAAAAGATATACCGGACCTGAAATATGAACTCCGTGGTATCTGCGCGAGGCGTGCAGATGTGCTGGAGAACTACGCCAGCCAAATCGGTGTGGATTTTTGGACGACAGATTACCGCGAACTCGTACAGCGCGAGGATATTTCTGTCATCGCTATCTATTCCCCCGACCATCTGCACGCCGAACATTGCGTCGCTGCGATAGAAGCTGGAAAACACGTCATTTGCACTAAACCAATGGTGACCAAATTAGCCGATGCACAACAGTTGGTGAATCTGGTGCGCGAGCACAAGGTCAAATTCTCGTGGGGACAGACGATGCGGTTTGACCTCCAGTTTTTGACGATGAAACGAGTTCTTCGACGATGGCGATTTAGGCGACATCATGCTGGCAGATGCCTATTATGTCCACGACATGCGCGAGGTCTACGATTTCACGCCGTGGCGGCTTCATGAACCGCAAGATTTGATGTTCGGCGGTATTGTGCATCCTGTTGACCTATTGCGCTGTCTTCTCGGTGATGTAGATGAGGTGCACGCCTATGGGACGAAAGGCTTGCTCACACCGGAATACCCCATAAAGAACAATTTTTTTCTCAACCTCAAGTTTAAGAGCGGACAGATTGCGAGAGCAATGGGGCTTTACGATGTTGTCCATCCCCCGATGCCGATGCAGCAGATTTCCATTTTCGGAAGTAAAGGGACGGTAATTGGGGACTTTACGGACAACAAAGAAGGACACGTCAAGTTGATGCTCGATAAAATGTCCACCAGAGAGCCCTTTGAAGTGACCTGCTCACCTGAAATAGACACAAGTGTTTATGGGCATGGGCAAACGGTTATCCGATATATGCGCCATTTTCAGCAGTGTCTTGAGGAAGATTTGGAGCCATCGCCGAATGTGATTGACGGTGCAAAATCTATTGCTGTGGGTGTGGCCGCGTGGGAGTCTATTGAGACGGGACAACCTGTGAAGGTATTCAACGAGTTTTAACAGTCAGCAATTAGCAATCAGCCATCAGTAAAGCGGCTTCTGAGCAAATCGGAAGTCCGCGTGCTTCTATTTCTTCTGTTAAAGAGAAACCGTAGCCTGCAACAACGGCGCAGGCGGATATACGGAGAGGCACGTGAGCATCTAAACCCACCTGACTGAACCGCAAGGAAAAATTAAAAACTTGACATTTTGTTTTGCATAATATATAATTTAGGTATGCCTAAAATAATTTCTCAACATTTCTAACAATTTTGGTACGTAGTGCCTAAAACTGAATGGGTGTAACGCCCATACATTTACTTACCGCAGCGGGAAAACGAAGTGCATTGTCTGTTTTCTTTGCGGATTGGAAAGAACAATGCTTACACATGCAGCTGAGGATTACCTCAAGTCGATCTACAAATTGCAAGAGAAGGCAGGTAAGGTTTCGACTGGCATTTTGGCGGAATACCTCAAGGTGAAGCCTGCGTCTGCCACAGGGATGATTAAAAAACTAAAAACGATGAAACTGGTGAGGCACGAGCGCTATCAGGGTGTTACGCTGACGATGACGGGAAAGCAATCGCACTCGAAATTATCCGACACCATCGTTTGTTGGAACTTTATCTATTCAAGGCACTCGGTGTTCCGTGGGATGGTGTTCACGAAGAAGCCGAGAAATTGGAGCATGTCATTTCGGAAGACGTGGAGGCACGGATGGACGAATTTCTCGGATACCCGACTGCCGACCCGCACGGTGCACCGATACCCGATAAAAATGGGGTCGTAACACAGACAGCGTACGTTCCGATGACAGACTTGTGTAGTGGACAATCCTGCATCGTTGCTGAAGTGAGTGACACCGATTCGGCGATGCTTCGGCATTTAGGAAGTTTCAATCTCTACCCGGGCACAGCATTCCGAGTGATTGCGGTTGCTCCGTTTGAAGGTCCCTATACTATTGACGTCGCAGGACAGCAGGTCGTTATTGGACGCGAGGTTGCGAAACATATTTTTGTCGAGGATGTACAGGAATAGCAGTAGGCTTTCGGTGAGTACCCTTCGACTCCGTTATAAGTGCTAAAGCACGAGTTGATGGTTAAGGTTATGAGAAAACCTTCTTTGTTCTGTACTGGCGAGGTAACCTCGTCCCCGCGAAGCCAGGCTGGCAGCCGATGGTTTCCGACTGCTATTAAGCTGTGAAGCGCGCTTATTACCACTAACGGGAGTCTAAAAATGGAACAACAAAAGCAGATTCGACCGGATAATAAAACAACCAAAGTGTGGAAACGCCATTTACAAGATGAAGTTGACGCGAGTTTCCTTTATAGTGTTTTCGCCGGTCTTGAATCCGATCCGAAGCGAAAAGACATATTAAGTGGACTCGCAGGGGTGGAAAATCGGCATGTAATACGTTGGCGGGAGATACTCGCTACCTACGATATAAAGGTTAAAAGGCAGCAACCAACATTGAAGGCGAGGTTGATGGCGTGGTATGCTCGCCGCTTTGGTAGTGAATTTCCACTCTCGCAGATGCTCGGTGAGGAGGCAAGTGAAGTCAAAGACTATTTAACACTTCACAGGAACAGCATAAGGAAGGATGTGAAAGAGACCGCACTTGATCTTAGCCAAAGAATCCGCGATGCATACAGAGAGTTTGCAGGAACTTACCGGAACGAGTGGCGAGCCGTGGCACAAAACTGAATCTGGAGGGATGGTCGGCAACATTGTTTATGGGTTTAACGACGGTTTAACGGCGAACTTTGGTTTAGTCGTTGGCATCATCGCTGCGACATCGGATGTCTCCACGATTCTTGTGACAGGTATCATTGGGACGGTCGCGGATTCACTGTCGATGGGGGCTTCAGGCTACCTTGCCGCGAAAAGTGAACAAGAGGTTTATGATCACGAAATCGAGGTCGAAAGAGACGAAATTCGCCTCATGCCTGACATTGAGGAGGATGAGTTTGCTCTCATTTATGCAGCCCGCGGCATGCCTTTGGAACAGGCGCGTTCCCTCGCACAGGAGGTAATGAGCGATCCTGAAAGAGCACTGGCAGAGAAAATTCAAACCGAGCTTAAAATTGGCGAAGTCTATGCAACCCCGTTTAAAGAGGGCTGGATTACAGGAATCGCGACTGCTGTCGGTGCTTTCATTCCTGTCGCTCCATTCCTTTTTACAGAAGGCATGTTAGCGATCTGGATGTCGTTCACACTTGCGATGATGTCCCACTTTGCTGTTGGTGCTACACGGAGTTTCTTCACTGGGCGGGGTTTGTTTCGTAGTGGTATTGACATGTTCGCTGTGGGGCTTGGCGTCGCAGGGGTTGGCTATCTCGTTGGTAAACTCTTAGAACGCTTCTTTTTGGGGAATTAAATTATGCAAAAGAATCTACATATCATTACTGTTAATGTTCATATTTGTGTATACTGGATGCGATCCAAAACAGCAGCCTGATGCTTCCACAGGAGGTAAACTTCGCATTGTCACAACGATCGGTATGATTACCGATATTGTAAAAAATGTTGGTGGTGAACGCGTTGAGGTCACAGGATTGATGGGTCCCGGTGTAGATCCACACCTCTATAAGGCGAGTGCAGGTGATGTCCATAGGTTAACTTCAGCACAAATCATTTTCTTTAACGGACTGCACCTTGAGTCAAAAATGGGTGATATCCTTGCCAAGATGACAGGAAATACCAAGACTGTTGCCGTAACAGATGCCGTTGACCGGAACTTACTGCTAACACCACCGGAATTTGAAGGGCAGTATGACCCGCATGTATGGTTTGACGTAACGCTTTGGATGAGAGCGGTGGGAAAGGTTCGCGATACCCTGAGTGAATATGATTCGGATAACACGCTAATGTACTGGAGCAATGCCGAACGCTACCTCGCGAAACTCGCGGAACTGCATGAGTACGTGAAGGCACAGTCGGCACGCGTGCCATCTGAACAACGCGTACTCGTAACAGCACACGACGCTTTTAACTATTTCGGGAAGGCTTATGGGTTTGAGGTGCGCGGGCTACTGGGTATTAGCACCGCAACAGAGGCAGGTATTGCTGATGTCCAGGAATTGGCGACCTTTATAGCTGAGAAACGCATTCCCGCAATTTTTGTGGAATCCTCTGTTTCGCCGAGGAGTCTTAAAGCAGTCCAAGCGGCTGTGAACTCAAAAGGTTTTAATGTGGAGATTGGAGGGCAACTCTACTCCGACGCTATGGGTAACGATGGAACGCCTGAAGGCACTTATATCGGGATGGTTCGCCATAATATTGATACGATTGTGACTGCACTCATTGGGGGAACGTCCGCCAGTTCTATGGTGGGACCGTGATACTACCCACAACCTAAAGGTTGGGGCTTCGGCTTCATAGCGACTGCGTTCTCACCAGAGGTTTGAACGTCTTATTGCCGCTCCACCCGCAGGCTCTTATTCCGAATCAGATCGGTTTTATCTGGTTTAGGTCCAGGGTACCCCAGCCTGCAAAATGATAAATGAGGAGGGTAGCGATACAAGGCGTAGGGTTATTACTCCACAATCGTCTTACATGAACGCTACCTAATAATTGATGTTTTACAAGGTCTCACTTGCAACTCGCCACATACCGTATCACGGGTAAGGATAGGACTCTACCAAGTGGTAGAGGTGATACTCCTATCCAGCAAGTTACATATAGAATACCATAATTTTAGGTAAATGTCAAGTTTATTTTGGTTTCCATAAACCCTAAGCCGTCTACATCCCGCAAGCTAAAGCATGGGGATTTGACGGAAGAGCGTTAAGGTGATAGAACAAAGTCCGTAGTTCGTAATGAAATGGAGAGCGGGTTTCAGAACGGAGCGTCAAAGTTCAAACCCACATTGTTTAACCGCAAGGAATAATTAAATTACATGCAAGCCTCGGAAACGAAAGCCATTGAAGTAACGGATCTGACAGTTGCCTATCAAGATCAACCTGTTTTGTGGGATATCGATCTGGATGTGCCACCAAGCGTGCTTTTGGCAATCGTTGGTCCCAATGGTGCAGGCAAAACTACATTGATTAAGGCGATTTTAGGGTTAGTACGCCCCGCGGCAGGCAACGTCTTGATTTACGGCAAACCTTATGAAGCACAACGCCGGATTGTTGGTTATGTCCCGCAACGGGGGAGCGTTGACTGGGATTTTCCAACAAACGTGCTGGATGTCGTCATGATGGGGCGTTACGGCGCACTTGGATGGGTGCGACGACCCGGGAAGCAGGAACGGGAACTCGCCATGCATGCGTTGGAGAAGGTTGGTATGGAGGCGTATACCAACCGACAAATTAGTCAACTCTCCGGCGGACAGCAACAACGTGTTTTCCTCGCTCGTGCCCTTGTTCAAGATGCTACGATATATTTGATGGATGAGCCTTTTCAAGGTGTTGATGCTACCACGGAACGCGCGATTGTTACACTCCTTCAGGAATTTCGAGAAAAAGGGAAAACGGTTGTCGTGGTACATCACGATTTACAAACGGTAACGGACTATTTCGATTGGGTGATGCTTTTGAACATTCGCCGGATTGCGAGTGGACCTGTTGGTGAAACGTTCACACCTGAAAATTTGCGTACAACTTACGGTGGTCGTGTCGCGTTTATGACAAAGTAGTAGGCATACTCCGTATGCCGTAACCAAAGCAGTAGGTGCGCTCTATGTGCCGTTCATAGATCATGGCAAATTTGAGTATTCTTATCCATCTTGATTATACGCTCATGATTGTTGCCATCGGTGCTGCCTTGCTGGGTGCTGTAAGCGGATCACTCGGTACCTATGCTGTTTTGCGACGGCAGAGTCTCCTCGGCGATGCCATCTCACATGCCGCCTTGCCCGGCGTTGCAATCGCATTTCTGCTGACGGGAAGCAAAACGCCTCTGATTCTGGTCCTCGGTGCGGCACTTGCGGGCTGGCTCGGCACGCTGCTCATTTTAAGTATCGTGAGGCTGACCCGTATCAAATACGATAGCGCGCTTGGAATCGTACTCTCTACCTTTTTCGGATTTGGTTTAGTGCTGCATACACTAATTCAACGCACGGGCAATGCAAATCAAGCCGGGTTAGATACGTTTCTCTTCGGACAAGCCGCTACGGTCCTGGAGAGCGATGTCTTGACGATAGGTATACTCGGTGGTGTCGCAATCATCATCATGTTCGTCTTTTGGAAAGAGTTGAAGTTGCTGGTTTTCGATGAGGGTTTCGCTGCATCGCTGGGGTTCCCAATCCGTGTGCTTGATATTCTGTTGACGAGTCTCCTTGTTATAGCAATCGTTCTCGGTTTGCAAGCTGTCGGTGCCGTCCTGATGAGTGCGATGTTGGTCGCGCCAGCAGTCGCCGCACGGCAGTGGACAAATAAGCTTAGTCTGATGATGTTTCTCGCCGCATGCTTTGGAGCACTGGCTGGGGTGAGCGGAACTATTATTAGTAGTAGTGCTTCACGCATCCCGACCGGTCCAACGATTGTGCTGTGTGCAACGGTTGTGGTGGGGCTCTCGATCGCTTTTGCCCCGAATCGCGGGCTTTTATGGGACTGGCTTCGGCACCAACGAAACAAACAGGGTCTAAAGGTGGCAACGGATCGGTTGTTGAAGCATCCGCAGCGTGGGAGCGAATAGGAAAAAGTGATACAAGACCATCTTGATATCCAACTCATTGCGATTGTCACAGCGGTGGCGTGTGCTTTGCCGGGTGTGTTCTTAGTTCTACGGCGGATGACTTTGATGAGCGACGCGATTAGCCACGCGATTCTTCCCGGCATCGTGCTCGCCTTTTTTCTTACAGAGAGTCTGTCATCGCCGCTCCTAATTCTTGCCGCTGCGGGAACCGGTGTGCTCACTGTTGTTTTCGTTGAATTGCTGCAGCGGACGAAACTGGTGAAAGAGGATGCCGCGATTGGGTTGACATTCCCTGCTCTTTTCAGCATCGGGGTGATCCTGATTTCCAAATTTGCAGGCAGCGTTCACTTGGATATGGATGCCGTCCTTCTCGGCGAACTTGCTTACGCCCATTTAAATCGACTGGAGGTCTTCGGATACAATCTCGGTCCCGTTTCTCTGTATGTAATGGGAACGATTCTTCTGCTGAACCTCGCCTTTATTCTACTATTTTACAAAGAATTGAAGTTAGCAACCTTTGACGCAAGTTTGGCTGCCGCGTTGGGGTTTGCGCCGACGCTTATCCACTACGGTCTGATGACACTGGTATCCGTAACAACAGTTGGAGCATTTGACGCTGTTGGGTCGATATTAGTTGTTGCTCTCATCGCTGGACCACCTGCTACCGCTTATCTCATAACAAACAGGCTTTCCGTGATGCTCACCCTGAGTGCGGTTATCGGGAGTGTGAATGCTGTGAGTGGTTATTGGGTCGCGTACCTCTTCGATGTCTCTATTGCGGGGTCGATTGCGACGATGACGCTCCTCGTGTTCGGACTGGTTTTTCTGGTTGTTCCGAGCCGCGGACTTATTGCTATCGCACGTAGGCGGACACGCCAAAAATGGGAGTTTGCCCAAACGATGTTAGTGATTCACCTCTTTAATCACGAGGGACTTCCGGAAGCAGAGGCAGAATCAGAGATAGCACACCTTCATGAACATCTTCGCTGGGATCCGGAATTTGCGACCCATGTCGTAAAATACGCATTGAACAACCGATGTGTCTCTCAAGAGGAGACACTGTTAACGCTAACGGAACACGGACGCGCGGTAGCACAGCAGGCACTCGTGCAGTAACCATGCTACGCGAATTGGACTTTTAAAAAATTGCATAGGTTTGTAGTCGTGCGATTCATCGCACGTTGCATTTTACAACAGAGGTTTTCAGTATGAAAAATACAATACAAAAGGTTCTCACTTGTTTGCTGCTTCTCAATCTTGTGTGGATAGTAGGAGCCGATGAAGCCGCACTAAAAAATCCAGATGGCTCATGGAAGTGGACGAATCGGCTTATCCATGAAACCAGTCCTTATCTGCTGCTCCATGCACATAACCCCGTAGAGTGGTATGCGTGGGGCGATGAAGCAGTGGAGCGTGCGAAGAAAGAAAATAAGTTAATTTTTCTCTCTGTCGGATACTCTACATGTTATTGGTGCCACGTCATGGAGCGGGAGGTCTTCTCAAATCCAGAAATTGCCGCTGTGATGAACAAGGACTTTATTAATATCAAGATTGATAGAGAAGAACGTCCAGACTTGGACGAAATCTATATGACAGCGACGACAATTACTAATACAGCGCGGCGGATGGCCCAACTCTGTTTTCCTCACCCCTGATTTAAAGCCGTTTTATGCTGGCACCTATTTCCCACCGACGGATATGCCCGGCAGACCGGGGTTTCCAACGATCCTTGATGCGGTGCATGAAGCATGGGTAACGCGAGAGGCGGAAGTCATTGAATCCGCAAACCAGATTTTAAAAACTATTGAGTTGGCAACAAGCAGAGGGTTCACGGCACTCACTGCCACACCACTGGATAGATCGCTTACGACTGCTGCATTGGACTATCTCCGTACGACTTATAGTCACGCCTACGGTGGATTTGGTAGGGCCCCGAAATTTCCCAAGTCCTGCCAATCTTGAATTTTTGCTCAGTGAATACGAGCGAAGATCGGGGTTACAAACCGCTCCCACAGAAGATGAATCGTTGTTAGAAATGGTGACGTATACGCTCGATATGATGGCTTACGGTGGGATGTATGACCAGATAGGCGGCGGTTTTCACCGGTATTCTGTTGATGCAAAGTGGCTAATTCCGCATTTTGAGAAGATGCTTTACGACAACGCACAATTGGCGAAAGTTTATCTCCACGCCTATCAGTTAACACAAGAACCTCGCTATCGGCGTATTGCTGAAGAGATCTTCAGTTTCATTTTCCGAGAGATGACGGCACCTGAAGGTGGGTTTTACGCTGCTTTAGACGCTGAGACGGATGCCGAAGAGGGGAAGTATTACGTCTGGACTGCCGATGAGATTCAGAAAATTCTCGGTAAGAAGAGTACCGCACGTTTCGCTGGTGTTTACGGCGTTGACAAGGGACCTAATTTTGAAGGTAAAAGTGTTCTCTATGTTCCTAATGGAGCAGCGGCGGAGGATGCGCTCAAGGAAGTAGAATCTGCGCGGGAGAAACTTTTAACGGCACGCTTTGATCGCGAATACCCCTTGCTGGACACAAAAATCATTGTCAATTGGAACGGCTTGATGATAGACGCGCTCGCTTATGGCTATCAGGTGCTTGGTGAGGAGCGATATCTTATCGCTGCGTCAAAAGCTGCCCAGTTTATTCTTGACACCCTGAAAAAACCGAATGGTGAATTGTGCCATGTTTATACTGCTGGTGTCGTAAAACAGGATGTGTATCTTGATGACTACGCCTTTTTTGTCCGAGGGTTGCTTGGATTGTATCGGGCTACAAGAGAAGAGCAGTGGTTGAATTCAGCGAAAAGACTGACTGATGCGATGATTCAACTTTTTTGGGATGACAAAGATGGGGGCTTCTATTACACGAAGGCGGATGCAAAGCATCTTATTGTGCGGACCAAGAAACCTTATGACTCCGCTATTCCGTCTGGCAATGCTGTCGCTGTCGCAAATCTTTTGGCATTTGGGACAGATTATCGAGGTTACGCTGAAGAAACCCTGCAGAGTTTCGCTAAGTCTATGTCACAAAGCCCCTCGTCCTTCATGTATATGCATTTTGCTCTTAACCGCTATCTAACCGCAGGAGAAGAAGTTGGTGCGGCAACGCCATCAATTGTAAGCGCGACCGCTGAAGTTAATGCCCAAAACAAAGGAATATACGATGTGATGCTTCAACTCAATATTGCTGACGGGTGGCACATTAACGCAAACCCCGCGGGGCAAGACAACTTGATTCCGACAACGATTACAGTGGACACAGATACCCCGTTAGAAATTGTCGATGTAGCGTATCCGAAAGGGAGATCGGCGCGTTTTGAATTTAGTAGCGAATCCTTGAATGTTTATGAAGAAAGTCTCACGATTCCGTTGCAGTTAAAACAGAAGCCGAATACGAAGCACGACAAAAACGTCGCAATTATCCTAAAACTCACCTATCAACTCTGTAATGAAACTGAATGTTTGTTGCCACAGACATTGGATATTCCGTTAGAGGTGCCGTAGTTTTTACCTATGAGCAGTGAGGCTCCTTCCGCAATGGGTGCGATTACAGCGGACACTCCTCACAATTTTCTTGCCAATCAGATTCTCGTTTGATATAATAGAATTTAGTGATCGGTTTTAGAACCCTACCCAGTTTTATGAGTATACATTTCCAACCTTAAGAGGAACCTTACATGAAAACCTTTATTTCAATTTGCACCACGCTGCTTTTCCTATTAATGGCGTGTCACGCTACGTTTGCTGATGTTGTTGAAGATCCTGTGCTCTATCTCGATGCCGCTGACAACCCTGCGCATCCGAAGGCATGGGAGAACCTTGGTACCGAAGGCGGTGAATTGCTTGTCGCAGACAAGCCAATGGAACTCGAAGAAGGCGAAATTAAAATTCCTGCCCTCGGTGTCAGCGAACCGAATGCGAAGTATTACACAACCAAGGAATCCCATTCAACTTTTGGCGGTCCGCCACCCAAAAATCCACCACTGTTTTTCGAGGACTGGACATTGGAATTCCTCTGTAGGCGCAACGGCGATTTTTTTCTTGAGGAGCATCACTTCGCCGGTTTCCAGAACAGTCCAAGAGAAGGCAAGCAGGGAGTTCGGCTGTGGATAGTCGGCGGTCAGAATTTGGACATGTCCATCCATGCTGGTGGTTCTAAGCAAGGTGTTCAACCGCTTAACCTCAAACTTGAGGAAGGTGTTTGGACCTGGATAACGGTTGTCGGCACGAATGATAAGTCAATTGTAGCGTATCAAGATGGTAAAGAAGTCAGCGAACAAGCCGGTTTTGAATTCGACAAGAGTTTACCAATAGACGACATCTCAATCGGTGCCAATTCCTTCGATGAACGCCGTCGAACGTTTAATGGTTCGTTTGCGATTGTCCGCGCTTATGACAAAGCACTATCCGAAGCGGAGGTTAACCAAAACATCTCTGACACATTTGCTGTTGATCCGGCAGACAAACTTCCAACGGTTTGGGCAAAGGTAAAACGCGACTATCAATAGAATTGCACGTTTACATCCTACTTGTAGGCGCGACCTCCCGGTCGCGATACATCTTCGCTGGCGAGGTTTTCAACCTCGCTATGCCAACTGTACACGTAACACCGTTCAATACTAATTGATAGAGAGAATAAAGATGTCTCAGCCTTCCACTGTTCCTACGCGAGTTCAAGAAACCCGATACCTTGTTTTGGATGATCGCCTCATTGACGAGGCGATCGCGGCGGAACTTACCCTTGGCGAGATTAGCAAGCATCCACAAAACCCATTTTTTGGTGAGGATAAACCGTGGGAACCCCGTTTCGACAACGTCTACGCCAACGTCATCTATGATGTGGAGGACAAACTCTACAAATGTTGGTACAATCCGTTTATCGTAGATGAACGGGTAACGCAAACGCCGCCCGGAAAACGGCATCCTGATTCGTGTAATTACATGGATGTAAAACCGAGCGGACGGGAAATGGGGCTCTGCTATGCTTGCTCGGCAGACGGTATTCACTGGGAGAAACCTGAGCTTGGACTCGTTGAATTTGGTGGTAACAAACAGAACAACATTCTGATGCGCCGCGTAAATGGGGCGGGAGTTTTCAAGGATGGGCGTGAAACCGATCCGGCAAGACGTTATAAGATGTTTTTCTGTGGAGAGCCACAAATGACGGTCGCGTTCTCAGCAGACGGATTGCACTGGAGCGAACCCCTTCCAATTCCACAGGTTGAGGCACACGGCACGCACCCTAACGCTTTTTGGGCAGAGATGTTAGGAAAATACGTCGGTATTACCCGTCAGCATGCGGGTAGTGTTCGTCTCGTAACTCGAACGGAATCCTCTGATTTTGTGCAGTGGACACCGGACGAGTGTATTCTTAGAGGACCCAGTCCACGTCTACAGGCACATGATATGATTGTATTTCCAACGTGTGGGATTTACATCGGACTGCTCGGAATAATGGTTTATCCAGTGGACTCCAATACTGATGTCAAGCAGCATGTTGAATTGGCTTGGAGTCCGGACACCGTCCAATGGCACCGCATACAGGAAGGGGTTCCTTTTATGGGGCATACGCCATCGGAAACGGAACGTTATGGGGAGACACCCTACGACTGGGGGACGGTCTTCCCCTCTGCCCCGATTTTCTTTGACGATGAGGTTCGCATCTACTACGGTGCCGGGGACGGCTACTTTTTCAACTGGCGTAACGGCTACCTCGCACTCGCAACGCTTCGACCGGACGGTTGGGCAGGCTATGAACCGATCGCAACTGACATGCCAGCTGTCATAACGACCCAACCCTTGACCTTTGATGGCACATCAGTCGGCATAACAGCAGACGTATCGGATGGTGGTTCTGTGCGCGTAGCGATTTTGGATAAGGCTCGGAACCAACTTGCCAGTAGCGAACTGATTCATTTGACTGTTACAGATTCCCGCGTAAAATGGGAACCGAGTCAGGATTTAGCGAATTTGAGAGGCAAGGAAATTCGGTTAAGATTCCAGCTGCATAACGCAAAACTCTATGCTTTCCAGATCGGGGCAGAGAGTAGGTAATTCCTGTTCATTGATGTTGCATACCGCTTCTATAACGTCCCGGCGTGTGCCCGAATTTTCTGGAACGCATCTAAAATCTGTTGCATATCGTCCGTATCCCCTAAAAACATGGAATGTCCGAAACTGCAGACCTCTTCGCTATAGACGCGTTCTGCCTGTGGGCAATTGAGCGTGCTGTAGTCAATCGCCTGGTCCCCGAGGTATTTGCGCGGTAATCCGAGCTGATCAAACAGTTCGGGATTGCCGAAAGGACCTTCGTTGTAAATGGGTTCACCATGCGCACCGACACCACACGGAACGCCTTCTGCGCGGAGTGCTTCTAAGAACCGATCGCGTGAAACACCGCCGAACTCCTCAGAGACAAACCGGAAATCCCAATAGTAGAAACACCATCGCGTGGCGCGCGCATCGCGCGGGATCGGGTGGAGTCCGTCTATCGCCTCCATGCCCTTGGAGAGGTATGCGATATTTCGTTCGCGCGTCTCTACCTGCTCTTCAAACCGTTCCAATTGATTCAGTAAGAGCGTCGCTTGGAAGTTGGTCATCCGCATGTTCAACTGCGCGAAGCGACCCGCATTTTCTGCGAGTGTTTCATCGTTTGTGAGTACCATTCCACCTTCGCCGCAGGTAAGTGTCTTTCCCATCTGGAAGCTGAATGCGCCGAGGTGTCCGATTGAGCCAAGTCCTTTTCCGCGCCATTGTGAACCGTGGGCATGCGCACAGTCCTCAATCACTTTGAGATTGTGTTTGTCAGCGATCTCCATGATCGCGTCCATGTCTGCAGGGTAGCCGCCGTTATGTACTGGGATAATCGCCCGCGTTCGTGGCGTAATGGCTTTTTCAATTGCATCGGGTGCGATGTTGTAGGTGAGCGGGTCGATGTCAACGATGACAGGCACCGCATTGACGCACACAACCGACGTTCCTGTCGCCACGAATGTCAGGGCGGGAACGATGACTTCATCACCCGCGGTAATGCCAGCAGCCTTTAGTGCGCATTGTAACGCCACAGTGCCCGTTTGCCAGTGGAATACCGTATTTCGCATCCTGAAACGCCGCGAACTTTTTCACCGACTTCATCGACTTTCTCGCGTCGGTTCCACGCGCCGCTCCGTAGGGTCTCTAAAAGTGCGTTCTCTTCGGTTTCATCATAAATGGGCCAACTTTTCCCTAAACTGCCTTTAACGATGGGTTCACCGCCATTAAGTGCTAACTTTGCCATATCTCTGTCCCCCTTGCTATGTGCTTCAGTGTTACGGGTGGTTTGATTTTAGCAGTGCTCCCTTTTTTAGTCAACCTCTTTGATCGCGTTCGTATCATAGTATTTGTAGTATTCTTCTTGCAGATTTCGTCAGGATTCGCTATAGTAATCTTCGGAAACCCGAAACGGTGTGTAAACTATGGAATCAATAAATCGAACACTCACAGCAATAGACGGAATCACGGTGGGGCATGCTACCAATTTAACCGCTCGAACAGGGTGTACGGTTATCCTCTGTCCAGCAGGAGCAACGGCGGGTGTTGATGTGCGCGGTGCTGCACCCGGCACGCGGGAGACGGAAGCACTCCGTCCCGGACGTTTAGTCCAAAAAGCACACGCGGTACTCCTGACAGGTGGAAGTGCCTTCGGATTAGATGCTGCGGGTGGTGTCGTCCAATATCTTGAGGAAAAGAATGTTGGCTTTCCCGCAGGTCCCGTTCGTGTGCCGATCGTTCCCGCGGCTGTTATTTTCGATCTGGGGGTTGGCGACGCGAACATCCGTCCTGACCGAGAGATGGGGTATCAGGCATGCCTTAACGCTACAGATGAACCCGTAGCGATGGGTGCTGTTGGGGCAGGCACAGGTGCCACCGTCGGTAAAGCCCCCGGCGTTACATCTTCTCCGGGTGGGGTCGGTTCGGCATGTATGCGTCTCGATTCTGGCTTGATTGTCGCTGCGATCATGGTTGTGAATGCGCTTGGGAATGTTGTGCATCCAAGGACGGGTGAGATTCTCGCGGGTGGAAAGGAAAACGGCGATTTTGTAGACATCACTGAACGGCTCTTGGATGCAAATTTGGTTCAGGGTACCAACACAACTATCGGTGTTGTGGCTACAAATGCGACACTTTCCCCCGCAGAGGTTCACCGAGTGGCAGAGATGGCGCACGACGGGATGGCGCGAGCGATTCGTCCTGCACATACTATGTTCGATGGGGATACGCTTTTTGCCCTCGCCACAGGATTGCACACTGGAAGCGGTGTAAACGCTGTTGGTATTCTCGCGGCGGAGGTTGTCGCGGAGGCGATTGTTAACGCGGTGACCGCTTAAATCGGTTGCCCTTGCATTGCTTCTGGAATGTCAATTCCGAATTCGTTTAGGACTGTCGGGGCAATGTCGTATATGCTTTTGGCAGGCACGTTTCCGAGTTGTCGCGACCGGGAGGACGTTCCTACAGGGGAGTTTGACGCGGATTTGAGAATAAACATTCCCATCTCTGCATGGTTGCAATCGTCGGGACCGGTATCGTTTTCGTAGGTATAGATGCTGTTGTATCCGACGCTTCCGACCGAACGCCAAAAGAGGTTACCGAAGTAGACGATGAGATCAGGAGCAATGTTTCGGCATTCTCGGTAGACCTCTTCAGGTTTAAAGACCCGTGTGCCGATGTTATGTCCCGCCTCGTCTACAATTGCTTCAAGTTGCACCTTCAATTCATCGCGGATGCTGTCGTAATCTTGTGCGCTGACAATCCCGTTAGGTTCTCTGCCTTCAACGTTTATAAAAATTCGCGCGTAATACCCGCCCTCTCCCCACGCTTTTGTTTTTTCCCAGTCCACTAAATCCGCTGTCCATCGTGTAATTCCTTGCGGTTCGGTTTTAAGTGTCAGATAACCGTGCTTTCGGAGCCATTCATTGACACAGATACCCCCATCCATCCGTTTTGCGCCGTGATCGGAGACCACCATGACTGTGGTGTTTTCGTCCACACACGCTAACGTCTCTCCGAGTTCGGCATCGAGGGTGCGGTAGTAGTTCCGCATCGTCTCCGAGAATGGCGAGTTTGGTTCATACGCACGGTGTGTTTGTGTCCCAAAATCGCCAAAAGGCGTGGTGGAGCCGATCGGACCCCATTTCAACCATTGTAAAGAGGTCCCAGTCCTTTGTTTCAATCAGATAACGTGCGAGTTTGAAACGTTCGGTAGTCATTTTGAGGAGTTGTTGCTCCAGCTCGGCGCGCCGATCCGTGCGAAAATTGGGAATATCGATCATGTAATCGTTTGCGACCTGATCGATTTCCCGTGTAAGTCGTCTTGGAAATGTCCATTGGGAATTGCGATTGGGTGTGAGGAAACTGGTAACCATCCATCCCGGAAATGGCTTTGCTGGGTAGGTGAGTGGCACTCCCAAAACGACTGATTTCTTTTCTGATTGTCCTAATAGATCCCAGAGTGTCGGCACTTTGACGGCGTGTGAGTTGGCGATGGTGAGCGCATCGTAGGAATAATCCTTGCGGTTGCGGAAACCGTAGATGCCGAGTTCACCCGGATCACGGCTGGTCATCATGCACATCCACGCAGGAACGGTGATAGGCGGGATGGTGCTTTCCAATTCGCCATAGATGCTTTCTTCCATCAAACGACGTGTATTGGGCATATCGTCTTTGAACGCATCAAAGACAAGCTCAGGCGCCGCACAATCCCAACCGATAATAAGGACCCGTTTCTTCATATTTTTAACTATAAAATCTGGTCACCGTTCATTTTAAATCACGGCTTGGTATTGGTATTAACAGGCGATTCGTCGTTGCTAAGGAACCGCTCAATCGTGTTTCTCGTTGCCGGACGAGTACGGAAATCCGCAACCCACGGTTCACGGAAGTACGCTTGCTTTTCACGCGGTAAAGCGGACAGAACTTCAGGCGGAATCGGTAGACGGTGCCAATGTGTTGCGAGATGCGCGTAGGCGTTTAGCACTGCCACACGCGGTGTCTCCCGTTGCCACACGGGACCGGCGTGGCACAGGTTCTCCGTGAAGAAGATTGCACTGCCAGCGGGGCATTCATAGGTCATCAGGAACGGGCTCCGCTTCCCCTCCTCTAACGACATGTGGTCAGGATGCATTGGGAAGTTGGATTTGTGACTACCGACTATAAAATGCGTCGCACCATCCTTTTTGGAAATATCTGTCAGTTCAAAGACGACGCGCACCATTCCAGCGTGGATCTGTTCGTTGTTGACGCGATACCCGAAGATCGGATCTGCCTGTTTCGGTCCACCACCGTGGAGTTCACCGTGCCTCTGCCCTTTTTCGCGCCAGGCAGAGTAGCAGTGCTCTAACCGGATCTCAGGTCCGATAATTTCATGTAGGATGTCCAGAACTTTGGGGTGATCAATCAGGACGCTCGCGGGACCGCCCGGTACGGCACGGTGTTCCGGCGGTAAGGATTCTTTGTTGTGATGTATCCGGTCGATCTGATTAACGATTGCATCTACTTCGTTGCGTTCAAGGATCGCGGGACGAACGAGGAATCCGGTTAAGTCGAATCGAAATTTTTCTTCATCAGTCATAGGTTGATAGCTCCTATGTTAGTTTTGTGGTAAAGCATAAAATACGTAGATATTTAAAGTCTAATAATTAGAAAATTATGCCCAACGGGGATTTCTTCCACCAAACCGCTGTTCACTGATATTCCACAACTCTGATAAGCCGAGTTGCCGAATGTGCTCCAGTCCGGGTAGACACGGATCGTTTATCCGAGTTAACCAGCGTTGGAGTTCCGCTTCAAGTTCTGCACGAAGGTCTTGTGAATCTTCGTCGTCAATGAGATTGTTCAACTGATACGGATCGTTGTCGTTGTCGTAAAGCAGCCACCCTGTTCCGTCATAGTGGCGTGCGTACGTATAACGATGTGTTCGGACACCGCGCCACTCACGAATACCGAAGTTAAAACCTTCACTTCCGTGCAGTGGGACTTCAAGCAGTACGGATTGTGGTTCGTCAATTGTGTTACCGAGCATCGCTTCTGAGAGATCGATACCTTCCACACCCTCTGGGATCGGCAAATCGCACAGCGACAGCATTGACGGCATAAAATCGACGAGGCTTAGCAAGAGTCGCGGGTAACACCGGCTGGAATTCTGCGGGGCCAACGAATCATGAAAGGGATACGACTGGATTCGTCCCACGGACGTTCTTTTCTGACGTGTCCGTGGCTACCGAGCATATCGCCGTGGTCAGACGTGTAGACAAGGATAGTATCGTCAGCGATGCCGATTTCATCAAGCGCACGCATCAAGCGTCCGAGATTTTCATCCAGAGCCGTGATATGTGCGTAGTAACCGGAGAGATCCTTCCGTGTTGCGGGTGTGTCCACCGCGTTCGGACGTAATTGAATCTCTTCTGGCGGATACATCGCTTTGTAGCGTTCTGGGACGTGTTCATACGGGTTGTGTGGCGGTCCCCAGCTCATATAGAGGCAGAAGGGTTCATCGGCATGATCGCGGCAGTATTCAATGGCTTTATCGGTCTGGAACTCTGGTTCATAGCCGTCAATCTCGAATCGATTTCCGTCAGAGTCGTGATACGGGGCATTGAAGTAATCGTGATGGCAATTCCATCCGATCCAATCATCAAAACCGAACCGCATCTCAGGGGTAATGAATCTTGTCTCTGGGCATACCGCCGAGGTGCCATTTCCCGATGTAACCGGTGGCATAGCCTGATTCTTTGAAAATCTCGGCGATGCCGGTTTCGGTCAGAGGGAGCGGTAGATCGTTGGAGACGGCTTTGTGGTTCAACGGATATTTGCCTGTCATCAGGCATCCACGCGCCGGCACACATATCGGGACGTTAGTGAAGGTATTGGGAAAAAACATCCCTTCCTGTGCGAGTTGATCCATCACTGGAGTCTGCACTTGCGGGTTGCCTGCGCATCCGACATCACATTGGCGATGCTGGTCGCCGAAAACGAAGATTAAATTGGGTTTACGGGTTGACATTTTTTAATTGATTGCTCCTGGACTGCTCTCCATTTCATTACGAGCAGGTTTTTGGTTAAACCGCAACGAATTTGCGAACTTGTACACGAACACGAAGCCTGCAACAACGGCGCAGGCGGCTCTACATAGAAGCACGTGAAGTCCCCAAACCGCGACACTTAACCGCAAGGTAAAATTAAAAAAACTGCATCCATGTATAAATTTGGCGAAGTGCGCCCTCACTCTTTGTCCACAATGCTCTTTTCAGCGGTGAAATTACCTTTGTGTAACTGGCGAAATCTGTTCTTATGGCGCGATACTGTTCCTTATGCGCAATTAACCCTGTGTTTCTCTGATGGCGATGCGCCGAAATCTACCCATTCGTATTGTTCACGACACGCCCGTGCGATGATGTGGTGGAAAATCGCGTTGTTAGGTCGATATTTCAAGAATGCTGGCACAGATGCTTCACACCACAACGTTACGGTCTTATTGAAGCGTAGATAGAGCAATCCTGCGATAACAGTGCCACGGTATGTGGCGATAGCAAGTTTGGCGATTTTCCGCTGCAGGAGTGTCTGCATAAGTGCCTGCGGTTTCGGCGTGCCACCTAACCGTTTTACTGTCATGAGATACATGTCGTAAAAGGTGGATAAAGCCTCTTCACTGTCTGTGTCCGTGACTGTCACACCCGATTTCTCTGCCTTCCTGATCGCGCCCCGTACCCGTTTGTTATAGGCGTGCCAGAGGGATTCAACATCTCCGTTCGTTTTCAGAAAATGCGTGAAGTGATCTGTGCGTTTGTAGCCCATTTCAACGAATAGATCGCCGTAAGTCACCATTTGCTTAGGTGTCAGTGTCCAACGAATTTCACACCATCCCTTTGCTGCTGCTGCGGATTCGATGGATGTTATCAGTGATTCAGGGTTTATTTTCACTGATTCGATGAGGTGTACACCTCCAAATAGGTTCCACGGCATTGAATGCCATAGACGGATGCCCGGTATTGGCTGAAAGACGAAGGCGGGCAGCCCTCCTATTACTGAGTCATCTTGATTGATGAGTAAGTAGGTTGGGCGTAGGGGTTGGGTTACCCAACCCCTACCAAATGCGCCCGCTAATGCATCTCGCCACGCGAGACTTTGGAAGGCGTTGGTCCCCGGACATTGCCGAAGAATGGCATCCCATTTATCCTGATTTTGAGGGGTCAAAGAATCTAAGGTGTACACATGCACATCTTGTAGGAGCGAGCTCCAGCTCGCGATTCCTATAGAGTTATGCCGCCAGTGCCGCGAACAGTGCCTTGATGTAGCCGACGGAGTAAGCTAACCCAACATTGCCTTCTAATTTCGGGATGTGATCGGCGTTGATACATCCGTCAAATCCGACCTTTTGTAGTTCTCGGACGATTTTGAAAGCGTTCATATCACCATCGTCAAGGAGGACTTCCTCAAACGCTCCGGCTGTTGCAAGGCTACCTCGGACGTTCCGTAGATGAACCATGAAGATACGTCCTTTACGTCCGTAGTTGTTGATTTCGTCAAGTACGATCGCACTCCCTCCGGCTTCCGCACGAGTACCACAACAATAGAGATAGCCAACGTTTCTGCTGGGGAAGGTATCCGTGACACGGTGGAAGCCGAGACTGCCGAGGGGTGTGTCCGGATTCGGCACATCTGACGGATGGACAGCGAGTTTTATGTCGTATTCATCGGCGATAGGTACGAGTGCTCCGTAAACTTCGGTAAAACGTTTCCACCATTCGTCGAGGGTTTCCATCGTCGGTGTAGCTGGTGGATTTTCGGTTGCGGCACGGCTTTCGCCACGGGAGGTATAACCGCCCCTATGTACGGATGAATAACGCGTCATTAGATAGTCAAACGTATCGCCCCAAAATCTCTGGCGTGCAATCGGGACACCTGCTTCGGCGAAGACTCGGAGGGCATGACACGTATTTTCCAGCTCCTTTTCGCCATCAGGCTGCCCTTGCATAAACTTTTCTGTAATGTTCGGGAGCGTCACACGGTTGATGTCAAGTCCCCAGGAACGGATCCGTTTCTTGATTTTCAACAATTCGTCTAAGTCCGGGTAACCCTGTTCTTCAACTCCAGGAAAGGCATTACCGCCTCCAAAGTCGATACAGTCTGCACCGAGTTGTGTAACCTGTTTGAGATAGCTATCAGAAAGTCCGCCATCCCAGACTGAAATTTTCATCTTTTTAATTTTCCTTATGGAAGTGTTAAGAATAGACAACACAGAGAGGATAGGTATTTTTTATAAATCAAAAAACCAAACCTGTAATGTAATGGAAGGTGACCTTTAAGAAAGGCACGTCCCTCTCCAAACTCCCGTTATCTCTCCGCAAGGTATAATTAAAGCAGTTCGATGGACGTGCTTAGGAAATTGACATGCCTTTCCATAGAGTCGTCCTCCATTACATTTCGGACTTGCGATCTTTAGTTAATTTTCTAATTTTCCTTGCGGTTTGGTAAAGTAGGTTAGAGCATTGACATTTATCTCCATTTACCATTAAAGGGGTAACGGAACGGATTGCCCGCTCTCAACAGATTGGTACGCGGCTAATGCGATTTCGGCGGCGGCGCGACCGTCTAAGCCTGTAATGGGGGGAGACGTGTCGTTACGGATTGCGTCTACGAAGACACGAATCTCTTCTTGAACCGGTGACGGCACCTTTATATCTGCTACTTTAATCTGCCGCCCTTCACCCTCAAAAGGTTTAATCTGGATGGCTGCATCGCCGCCCCAGATCTGTGGAAAATAGATGGAGCCGCCTTCACAATCGACGCGTCCGCCATACCCACCAGCAGCGGAGACATGGCTGGAGTGGAGCAAGCCAACTGCTCCGTTTGCAAACTGTAAGGAAGCAAGCACAACATCTGGATAGTCGCTCTTATCTGGTCCGTATTGTCCGCCGGCGGCATAGACAGCAGTGACATCTCCACAGGTCCAGCGCATAAAGTCATTTCATGGGCATTGATTTCCATGAGACTCCCACCAGACTTCGCACGTTCCAGTCGCCACGGCGTGTGACTGTACCCGCTACGCCACGGTCCGCCGATGCGATGCACCATCATACAGGCGGGTGCCCCGAGTTCACCACTCTGCACAATTTCGCGAACAACGGAATGCGTGCCGTGGTAACGACATACCAAACCGATCGTAAGTTTGACACCATTTTCATCTGCGGCGGCAATCATCGCGTCGCAGGCATCCAATGTAGGTGCCATCGGCTTTTCGGAAAAGACGTGTTTGCCTGCGTTCGCGGCATCAACTGCCATCTGTGAGTGCATAAACGGTGGGGACGCGATTAGGACCGCACGAATCCGATCATCGGCGAGTAATTCGTGGTAATCCAGTGTATAGGACGTACCGAGGTCTGTGGCAAGTTTTTCAGCCAGTGCTTCTTGCACATCACTAACAGAGATAACTTCTATTCCGTCAACGGCGTGTGCGCTGGTGGCAAGGCTTCTGCCCATGCCGCCGCATCCGATAAGGCCAACTCCAATCGTTTCCATTTTTAATTTATCGCTCCTCGGCTGCCCTCCATTTCATTACGGGCAGGTTTTCGTCCTTCCTCTCCTACTTTTTTAAAATTGAGCAGTTCAAAAACAACTGCATCCAAAACGCTAAGCCTGAAACGAAGTGGAAGGGTTTTTGCTTGGGTGTTTCCTCAACGCTATACAGAGGCACGTGAATGCCTAACCAACGTTACTTAACCGCAAGGTAAATTGAAAAATTATCTCCGTCTGGCTTTGATATGTCCCCATGTAACGCTCAGGTGGCTTGCAGAAGGACTGACATCAAGCCCTGTGGCTTCCATGTTGTTCTGGACTTCTGCTGCACTTAGAACGCGATCGTAAATTCGGAATTCGTCGATATATCCCTGAATTGTATCGCAATCGCATCCATCTGACCGATCCCCGATGCCGAGGAGGAGCCCTCCCTTTGGGATTTTACCGCCCTTCATGGCATACTTTTTTTCGAGTTTTCCATTCACATAGTAGTGAACCATGTTGCCATCGTAGGTGCCGGTGAGGTGCAGCCACTCTTCAAGTGGAATATCCTCCAGTACATTGTCTTGTGCTGCCACCGTTGATTGACCACCCGCTCTAATGAAGAAACCGTGCTGGTTATCGTCATCATCGTAATAGAGGCTTACGACTGCGCTGTTCGTTGGCATATCGTCAAGTGAGATAATCCGGTTCCAACTGTCATCCAAGGCGTTAATATAGACCCAACATTCCAGGGTGATTTCCTCCCAATCACGGTCGATTTTGGGTGGGTTTGAATCTTCAACGAGAAAGCGGTCAACACTGCCATCAAAAAGAATGCACTCACCGACTTTACAATCGGAGGCGGGTGCGAGTTCGGGATCCCCGTGGACAGCTGCCGCGAGTCCTGACAAGAGATCTACCGCCTCAGTTTTAATTTTTACTGTGTCTTTGTCGAAGGACCAATAGGCGACTAAGCCATTTTCAACCGCTCCGATGATTGCCTCGGTGGGTTGCGCGTTCCATGCGAGGAACGCGATAAGGAGAAGGGCGAATGCGCGTTTGGCATTCGCAAAGACTGTAAAGAACCGTGAATTTTCCACAAAATATCTGCTCTGAAAACGGGTGCCGTTCTGTAGACGCATGATTCATTTCCTCCTTCAGAATACCAATCAGCGTCAGCGTCAGCAAAGAAAAAAGGGATTTGAACGTTCAATCCGTCTTAACTTTAACCATCAACTCGACTCCGATATAAGACAACAAAGCACGAGTTGATGGTTAAGTCTGATAGCCGAAAGCTGAAAGCCATTAGAACGTGTCACGCATGGCGCGTCTTCGTTGATCCGCGATTTGGCGTTCACGTTCCGCATCAGACTGCTGACCATGGGGTCCAGCACTGAGCGGACGGTATTCGGAGACCTCACTCTTCCGTTTGAATACTCGGAAGAAATCGAAACGGGTTAAGGTTGGCGGAATATTCCCCGGACACAGCGAATGTAGTCCAACATGTACCGACTTTCCCATGCCAACATTCGTTTGTCCACAGCTTTTCCACTGAATGCTATCGCTACTGGCGAAAGCCGAGAACTGGTTCCCTCTGCGTTCCATACGTAAGAAGAGTTCACGTACATCTCTGAGTCCACTGCCGCGTCCACGTAAGTTAAATGAACGTCCGACGTGGCGTTCAAAACGGACATCACCTCTGAATGCGTGTGGTCCCGAGGTTTTCTCAAGTCTGAGGAATTGATTGGGATTTTTCCATACCAATAAGCCACCGTGTTCTTTCAGTTCTGGCGAGATTCGCATGCGAGTTTCAATAGCGAAGTCTCCAACGACTTCCATGAGGAGACGTGGTGCACTCATATCGCCGCTTCTACCGTCCGGACCGTGCCAAAGGTCTTGCCCGGGTTCAGTCTTCATTTCTAAGTAGCCTTGGCGTTCTGCCCAGGAACCGCCGCCTTTCGGGATCTTCCCATCGCCATTCCGGACGCATACGGTTTCCGATGAACTCATCTTCAAATACCATCTCTGTGAACTCGCCGGAAGATGCCCATCCTTCAATCTTCACAGCGGAGATAGAATCCCCGAAGTTTTGAGGGAGTAAATGGAGGTTCGGCAACTCCTTCTTATATTCCGACGGTTCCATACGGATAGGTAGGGGCATGCCCTCAAAGTCAGGGTGTTCGTAAAAGACGACCTCCGCTCCGTGTGGCGGGAAATCCGGTCCTTTGGAAATACGGATTGACGAAATCCGGTCTTCAAACCAAGTTCCGCCTTGCGCATCCCGCAGGTTGGCGATGTCGCGCAGGATAGTGATTTTTCTGCCGCGGAATTCGACGTGTTCGTAGCAATCCACAATCAGGGGGATAGTGCCCCATTCTGGTCCAACCACTTCCAGTGTGGAACCGAAGTTGATTGATGAGATTCTGTCGGCGAAGTTGTAAGAGGTATCGTGCAGGTTCGGATAAAATCCGGGACCGAGTGCTAATTTTTGACCGTGGAAGTTACCGTGCTGATAAAAGATGACTTTATAGTTCGGATTTGACGAGAAGTTTGGTCCCTTATACACACGGACAGAAGATATATTGTCTTGAAATCCGATGGTTTGCGTCTGCTGAACAGGCTCCACAACATATCCCATTCTGCCCCGGAAGTTTGTGTGTTGGAACACCTCAACAACAAGGCGGGGTATGACGATTGGCATTTTCTTCTCCTTTTATGGAAATTATACCAATGATGGCATAATTTGTCTTTACTTTACATTCTTGTAAGCATTGCCTACGTATTCTTTGTGTGTTTTCCGTTGCAACGTGGGAAACCAAAAGCAGTTTCCTATATCTGTTTGTCTTTATGTATCACCGAGAATTGCCTCATAAATTTGAGCATATCCACTTCGATCGGATGTGAATACAACGTGCTTGCCATCCGGACTGAAAGACGGATGTGGATGTGTATGCTGTGGTGCGTAAACCTGAATAGGACCAGCGGCATACGGGAACGGTCCGTTCCAATGCTCGCCAATAGACGAGGCGTTGGGATAGCATAACGTCTGAGGTTCGCCAATACCATCACGTGGATCGAAAATTTGGATACCAATATCTGGGAAGTTAGTGTCTGCTACCATAAGTGTTCCAGCAGAATTACTAATGGCATGCCATGCGTTGAACGTTGTCACTTGTCGGTCTATGCCAGTATCGGCGTTGATACACCTCACGCCGCGGGGCCAATCGACAAAAGCGAGTTCACGCGTTCCTGGGATCCAGGTTTCATGTGTGATCCATTCGTTCTTTTCGACGTTACGGGCATAGAGACGACGGTTACCCGTTCCGTCGCGATGGATTACCCACACTCGATCAGTAAGGGGACCCGCATAGTAGAGCAGGTTGGAATCGTCGGGACAGAATTGAAGGTGTCCAATACTCTCTCTCCGCAAGATGATATCGTGCCCGCCGGTGTCTGTGTCTATAATAGCGAGTGCGGATTCTTTACCGATGTTGAATCTGACAGCCCACCATCGATTATCGTGACTCAAGGCGGTAGTGCCCATAGCGGCGGCTACCATACCTTCTTCCCGCATCGCCGTTGCTGCGAAATTGACAAGTTCGTGCGCTTCAAGCGTCTCCAAATCTACTTTCCATCCGCTTGTGCCTGCTGTGAAGTAGACTGCTTTTCCATCACGCGAGGGATGCACCGACCACTCGGCGAGGTCAGGTCTATCTGTTAATTGGCGAAGTTCACCCGTGGTGCGTTCTTCTGCGAATATCTGCGGTGTCCCTGTTCGGTATGAGACAAATATGAGCCGTTGCATCGCGTCGTCATACGCAGGTATGATGAAGAATGGATGGTGGTGCAGCGCGGATGCTGTCGTCACCTGTCGGATTTGTGTTCCGGTGCGTTGATCGACAAAGGTTCGGGATTCAGAAGGATAAACTGTGCCTTTCGCCATTTTTTTAATTTTCCTTGCGGTTAAACGACGTGGTCTGTCTTTGAGCGTCCTTTTCTTAAATCCGTCTTCCATTTCATTTCAGACTACGTTTTTGTTACTACTTTAATTTGGTTCCTTGATAACGCTGGGTCTCCTATAATTCAGACTACACAGATGCCACCGCTACAGGACTGAAGAGGGATACCTGTTGGAAGCAAAACAGAAACGGAATCCTTACATTGTCCCGTAAGCCTCTATAGGCTTGCATAGGGTCGGCGGGGATGGTGCCCCGCCAGACCAATCATTGAATTTCTTATTCTTCAAAGGCGGCATCAAAGGCAACAGCAGAAGGTTCAAAATCATAACCCTTGACAGCACCACACGATTCGCGTGCGCCGTGTTCTCTGTCCATGCCGCTGTCCTCCCACTCAATGGAGAGTGGACCGTCATATCCCATGTTGTTGAGGGCGCGGATGATTTCTTCGAAGTTAATATTACCACGACCGATAGAACGGAAGTCCCAATTTCTCCGGGCATCCCCGAAGTTCAGATGTCCGCCGAATACACCCGATAAGCGGGGTGTATCTGCCCACCAGACATCTTTCATGTGGACGTGATAAATCCGATCACTCAGTCGTTCAAGGAATGCTACATAGTCAACGCCTTGATAGCCGAGATGGCTTGGGTCGTAGTTAAATCCGAACGCTTCTCTACCGTTGACCGCCTCGATGGCACGTTCTGCGGTGACGATGTCAAAGGCAATTTCGGTCGGATGAACTTCGAGTCCAAATTTGACACCGACTTCATCAAAGACATCGAAAATCGGGTTCCAGCGGTTGGCGAAATCTTCAAAACCGGCATCAATTTGTCCTGGGTCGTTCGGAGGGAAAGAGTACAGAAGATGCCATATTGAGCTACCGGTGAAACCGTTGACGACGCTTACGCCAAGTTTCGCGGCGGCTCGCGCTGTGTTTTTCATCTCTTCGGCGGCGCGTTCTTGAACGCCTGCAGGATCTCCGTCACCCCCAGATCGCCTCTGACACGATGCCTTGATGTCGGCTGTCAATATTATCGCAGACTGCCTGTCCGACAAGGTGATTACTGATTGCCCAAACTTTGAGTCCGTATTTTGCGAGTAGATCGTGTCTGCCTTGGCAGTAACTATCGTCTGTGAGTGCCTTGTCAACTTCAAAATGATCGCCCCAACAGGCGAGTTCTAAGCCATCATAGCCCCATCCACTCGCTTTTTCTGCTAATGCCTCTAATGTTAAGTCTGCCCATTGGCCTGTAAAGAGTGTTACAGGTCTTGCCATAGTGTATCTCCTTCATAATTGCCCCAACTTCGGGGTAATTTCTTGCCTGGTGCTGTATCAACTTTCTTTTTCTGTAGGAGCGAGCTCCAGCTCGCGAGGCCTACATCACAAATAGAGTTCCAGACACTTGGCAGATAGATAGAACAAAGACTAAGTCTGTTCTTTTAAACGCTCAAGCTCCTCTCGGAGTTGTGCGATCTCCATTTCCGCTTTCTGGCGTGCCGAGGCTTCTTGTTCAGCGCGTGTTTCAGCGTTTGTGCGCGTGTGGCTTCCTGTTCAGCGCGTGTTTCAGCCGTTTGTGCGCGTGTGGCTTCCTGTTCAGCGCGTGTTTCAGCCGTTTCAGCTCGTGCTAATGCTAACTCCGCGTATGCTAATGCTGACTCCGCCGGCGTTTGCAGCCAATTATCCCCAACCGGATCGTAAATACCTAAACCCACATCACCAACATAGAAATCTAAACCGAGAGCAGTGGAGTGCAGACCCCCATTTGGACCTGCCGAAATCGGGACATACGAACCATCAACCAAGGTAAAACCCATTATAGGCGACGGTAAATATAGACCCTCCGCATCATACAAGAAATAGTCTTGGATCCCCAATAAAGCGTAGAGTTCCATCTTGTGACCTAAGTCGTTGCGATAGGTGCTTTTGCTGGAAAACTCCATCACAAAATCAGGTACCTTTCCCTCCTCCCAGACGAGATACGTCCGTCGGAGTTTCTTACCTAAGCCAAAAGCGACCAGAACATCCGGCGAAACCGATTTACGCGGGTCTCCTTCCACGTAATACATGAGTATATCACCAGAGATATAGACCCCTGGATTTTCTTCAAAATGGGTGTCAAGGACTTGTAAAGTCCGCATGAGGATACGCCTGTGAAGGTCGCTGACGGCCATGGGTTTTCCATCCTCTTCGGGGTAAAGTTCCGCGTCCTCTGTAGGGGCGTAGGGGATATGATTCCTGTTTCTGTAGGTGTCCATCAGTGTCCCTCCCATTTCGTGAGATACCTGAATACACGAGCATTTTGTTCTATATAACCTTACGAAAAGATTATGCCGGCGGCGCATACCTCGCATCGATCCACGCGCGTTGTTTACCACTGTCTACAGCAGCATTGATGAAATGTACCCCGCGAGCCCCATCTTGAACGGTTGGAAAATCTGTGTCGAATTCAGTCGGGGTTTCGCCTGATATTTTTGCGGCTATTGTCCGCCCTGCGTTTACATAAACATTTGCGAATGCCTCAATGAACGCTTCAGGGTGTCCGAAGGGTATCCGCGAATTGTGTTGGACGACCTCCGACAGATAATCGTTCCCACGTTTGTAAACATGTTCGGGACCATCTGGAAAACGGACATAGAGGTAGTTCGGATTTTCTTGTTGCCATTCCAGCGACGCGTCAGTGCCGTAGACACGGATACGCAAATTGTTCTCTTCACCTACCGAGATTTGTGACGCATAAAGCACCCCGCGGACTCCGTTTTCATAGTGCACGAGTAGGTTTCCATCGTCTTCTAACAAGCGTCCCTCTACAAAAGTGGTCATATCCGCACAGATTTCTTCGATGTCGAGTCCTGTGATATAGTGTGCCAAGTTCTCGGCGTGGGAACCGATGTCCCCGATACACGAGGAGGCACCCGCTTGATTCGGATCGGTACGCCAGACGGCTTGTTTCGCACCTTCGTTCTCTAAAAATGTGGCGAGCCAGCCTTGAGGGTATTCTACGACGATTTTGCGAAGTGTTCCGAGTTTTCCGTCTTTCACGAGTTCGCGTGCCTGCTTCACCATCGGATAGCCTGTGTAGTTGTGTGTGAGCGCAAAAACGACATCGTGTTCTTTGACGAGGCTGCATAGCGTTTCAGCATCGGCGACTGTCGTTGTCATCGGTTTATCGCAGACGACATGAACCCGGCTTCAATAAATGTTTTGGCGACATCAAAATGGATATGGTTCGGTGTCACAATTGAGACGAAGTCAATGCGTTCGCCATCGGGCAGTTGGCTCTCTTTCTCTGCCATTTCTTGGTAAGACCCGTAGACTCGATTTGCATTGAGGAAGAGTTCTGCACCTTGTTGTCGGGATTTTTCGGGTGATGATGAAAACGCACCCGCAACGAGTTCGATTTCTCCGTCAAGTGCTGCGGCTTTACGATGGACGGCACCGATAAACGCGTCCGGTCCACCACCTACCATGCCGTAACGTATTTTCCTGTTCAGTGGCATCTTACGTGTTTTCTCCTTTACTGTGTATAAATATGGGCTTGCGAGCTTCGCCCGATAAGGGTATTTTGATTCCAAAATACATTATCTCATATT